CTAGCGAACTTTTGCAGTATTCTAGTTTTTATGCTAATCCAAAATGAGAAGTCATGGTCGCCAACTATTTCAAATAGAGCCCTCATCGTATCCTCGATACTTAAAATCGTCTACTTATGCTCCTAATTATAATAAAAAAATTGAAAATTGAAGAGGTGCAAGTCATGCGAATAGCCAAGATAGATTGTGTCAGTATACCTAGCAAAGCCTAATTATTATTTTGGCAACAGCAAGCAACCTTTCGACTTTATTGAGGTACACGTATCTGCGAGTAGGTATATTGTTTCTAATTTACTCAAACGTACCTAATTAAAATTCTTCGTCAGTAGGTAAATAAATACAATGATCAAGCAAAAATTCTGGACGACGCCGAATATTATTCGAAATTAACCTAAATTATCGTGTTGTTGATGGGTACACAACATCGCTTATTAAAAAAAATATCTACACATTCGTATGATATTATTAATTTTACTTTCTAAGTGGAAGTATGCCACATATAATTTGTAGATCACAATTTAAATTGCGCTCGCTGCATTTTTTCAATCGTAAAGGATCTGACACTGATCACTTTCCAACGTGAAGACAAGGTAAATGTGCACCACATGAAATTTCGGGCACGAAATTCCTCATAATTAACCAATTCGTATGAACCGATTTAACTGACGTAGAAAACGTCCCCAATAAAAGGAGCAGTTGCGACGGTGAAAAGCTATTACGCGTAGGTATAGTTATGGGGTGTATGAAGAAAATTTATCATCTGTTATTACTATAATTTACGTCATATAAATTTTTCTTACGTTGGCATGGGTGTTGTGATATACGTACGAATATTTCAACCCTGATGATTAAATGATTTACGCCGGGTCATTATGTGCTCAAACAATTGGAGCGTAAAGGAGAAAATCAAAATAGACCAGTCAAATTCGGAAATAAATCTAAATCCGCTGTATTCAAAAACAGTTGTGGGCTGCTGGACATTTAGAAGACCAGAATCTGACGAAATGGTAGACAGGACTTAGCTATCCGAGGTTGTCTTTGATAACAACGGGATCGGGCTCAGTATTCGGTCCTATTCTTCACCGATGGCGTAGGATCTCCCTCAATCGTGTTACAGCTGCTGTGGCTCTTTTAATAGCTGCCCAAAAACAGAATCGGCTCAATTATCACCACGTCCCGTAACACCTCGGTCAGAAAGAAGAAATCGCTAAACCGTCACAGTGATGACACTTACATTAGAGCCCCCACCGCTTACTAGAGTGGATTTACGGCTGGCTACACAGACGCCCATGTCGAAGTTCCTGTAATCCCGGCGCTCAACGGCGGAATCCGCCACTCCAAAGCGTAAAATTCATTCAAGAAATATACGTTTTGACCCTCTATAAAGTTAAGGGTCGAGAGAGCTCGTGTCGAAGCTCAAGAAAAATTTCATATGAACCAGCGAAGTTCAGTCGACCAGTCATAGAAATCATTGGGGCGTTTTTGTACAAAATAATGTACCTATAGAAGCATTCATACCAAATTTCATGGTGGTATCATGTTTTGAAAGATACTTATCACTAATAATAGTTAACACGTGCCGCCATCTTGGAAAACGGAGTCCATATTAAATTTTGTAAGTTTCAATTTAAATAAGTATCAGCGGAATAATAATTACCATTAAAGTATCTAACTAATCGGTGTAGTAGTGGCAGTCGGCGGAACGAACGAACGGATAAACTCGAGGTCGGCTATAGCAGATGCGTCGGTCTCGGAAGCCTCGGGTGTAAACTGCCGGCTTTATGGTTCAATGGTAGAGCGTTGGACTATAAATCCGGAGGTCGGGTGTTCGAACCTGGGTTGAGGTGAATTTTTCATCTGTGGCAGAGATGGGAATTACCTTAGACCAGTTTCGAGCATTCTGCCGGCTACTCCGAATTAGGTTTTCATGCAGTTTTCCTAATTCGTAAGGTAAATACCAGAGTAGTATAGAATAAATAAATAAACTCTTCGGAGTAAGCGACAACTCCAGGAATCGGCAGGATTCAAAAGATGGCGGCGGTCAGTTCGGAAAAATTAAAACAAAATGACGGCGGGAATGAAGGGAACAGAATACAAATCGGCAGAAGCGGCAGAAAAGCAACGACGGGGAAGCGAACAGTATCCCCTCCTTATAATAAGTGAAACGGAACTTAACGAAGCGGTAGCAAAAGTTCGTTAAAATTTACGGAAAATATCTAAATTTAATACGATTGAAGACAAAAAGCAAAAATGACATAAATACGGCACGGTTGCAAAGGATAATTTAACAGCAAAGCTCAAAATTCGGTACTTACAAAACGTATCTGCGGAAGATGCAAAAGTAAAAGATCTAAATACGGTAGGTTGCGAAAAAGAGTTTACGAAAATGATAAAGATTTATATGGTACTTAGAAATATCATTGGAAAAAATGCAGAAGCAACAAGTTACAAAAGTAACACGCGCAGACCGACGGCCGGACAGACAGACAGACAGCAATACAAAATTATAAACGATTTCGAGGATCGTTAATAAACAAACAAGGTGTAAAATTATGGTACATGAAAGAAATTGATTTTTTACCACAACTTTTTCCATAAGCGAGCGGACAGACGGACGGACAAAGTGGCCACAATAGCGCTTTTTTTAATTTGTCAGGAAATGCACTAAAAAGATCCAAACTCATAGTGAACAATCTGCAATTCCTGTTTCGTACGCTTATACCTTCGATACGTTTAAACAAGTTAAACTGTTTTTAATTAGTCACTACTTTCCCCGACATCGAAAAAATATGGGAACGATGTCAAACTTCACGCTTTTTAAGAGCGCTTCTTTTGAGGTAACGCCCAGCTCAATCTAACGGATTTTCTGTAACTCGTTTGAATGTCAATCTTTAATTATACGTATCCAATTAGTCGGAATGATTTCCAGATTTCCAGAATCGGTGGTCCAATTAACACCCATCGTTAAATGGAATTCGAAAGTATCAACCGGGTCGGCGCTATCTGGTAACGGTCGGTTTCAATCCTGGATTTTCGTATACCATTAGAGAACTAAAATCGATTAATCGACAATTAACGGAACTAAAATTTAATAAGAAAAGAGGTGACGATAGATACCTTCATCCAATAAGGAACACAGGCCTAGAGAAAATTTTATATCTAAGCAATGTTTTGCCGTTGTTCTAAGAACTGTGAGGCTGGCATATTTTGCACCATTGCCTGTGTCAAATGAGCTGTTTTAATTCGCCATCAATATTAGCAGAAGCAAAGAATATTTAATAATTACTCTTTGGCAGAAGATAAAAGAGGAAGGAGACGATTATCATGGAGAGGAAATGTACGTACCTATATTCTTGAAGAAAATTTACTACAAATATCCACTTGTACTTCCGTTAAAAGTGAACATGTAATGAGTTTGAGGAAAAGTGACCGAAATCGTGAGTTTTCTGAAAATTTCTCCTTCTCCTTCAAGAACCCGTAGTTGGAAAACGATGCGTTTCTTTGGAAAAAAAGTATAGAAACCATTGAGTAATTAATCAGTTAACGATATAGAAACAAAGTGGTAGAAAATGTTATGAGCTTTCGATTTTGATAAGAAAATTTTGACATTTTGCTAAAAACTTATTGCACTTTGCACAGTACGTTCGAAATTAGTGAGGGACCAGGAGGCGTGTAAGGGTACAAGCGATGAGTGAACAAGCATTTTTCACTCAATGGTAAAAGGACGAGATATAGCCGGGAATAACGTTATTATTTTATTAATAAATTACTACATATGTATAGATAAAACATTACGCAAATACATAATAATATATGGTACAGGTACAGGCATAAATTCAATGCTACAGGAGACAAATCAACGGAAGGGTAGGCAACCCAAATGACGTCCAGCAACAGAAGTTTTTTGGAGTCGACACAAATTGTTCTTTTTAGCTCATTTCAAACAAGTTTTAAAGCTTGCGCTACTGTATCAGCTCTTGTTCCGTCCGTCCACCCGTCTGCCGAACTGTCTGTTCCCCTTAATTTCGTCTTATGGCGCTTGTACACTTCTAACACTGATCGGGACCGCACCCGGAAATCTTTACCCTAAATGTATAAAAATCGACAACGTTTAAGAACTTTTAAATTAAATAAAATTCGCTAACGTACTGCCGTTACACTGTCAACTGTGCTTCTATCTTTATTATAGAGTCTGTTGTTCAACTGCCTCATTTGCTACATAGGTCATATCGGTATCAAACGAAAGATATTAAAATGTCAAAAGGTAAACCTTTCAACCTTCTACGACCTAGAGCAACCTTTCAGGCGAGCCACGAAATAGCTAAAGAAGAAACATTCAACTAGTATCGAAATTTTATCCCAGATCAACATCCTTATTTGTCACAGATTTATTTGAAAAAAGACTAAACGCATTGGTTTCGATGCTCAAGAAGGGAATTTAGCGCATTTTTAATGACCACGTGTATATTTACCAAGAGGTGTCAAAATCGTTATTTTTTAGTAGTCGAAAATAACTAAATAGCTGGTACAAAGTTCTATTCAAAAACAGGTTTACACGTCTCTGGATGCTAAATAAAATTTAACCCACATAAAAGAATGCACTTAAAATTCATCTTACCGATTAATGAGAAACAGTTCCACTAAGTTACTCCAATTTAGTTTATTTACTAGGATGGTTACCACCGTTCCGCAGTATGGAAATTACCCTTATAATTTAAGGTCTTGACAGCCAACAAAAATACGAATTAATTGTCTTTAACTTTTTTACCGGTTGCTGTCTTATTTATAATGTTATCCCATAAGAAATTAGGTGCACAACTGTTTCTTTAACGTAACTTGACACTACAAAAATAACGCAATAAAACATTTTGTACCTTGAACCTAAACGCTTTCGTGGTAACAAAAGTGAACTTTAAAAAAATAAAACAAAGTTGAACATAAATCGGCCGTCCATTGGTTTTCACTACACGACATAATGCCCTTGTATTGTAACAGGATAATGGCCACCCTGTATATAACTTTTAGGCGCTTATCATATTCAATAAATATCTATGTGCGTTTATCAATACGAATAAATGCGGACGATGACATTGACGCTCGAGCTATTAAAGCGTATAAATGTATGCAAGGCTAAATTCTTGAGTTTTATAATTTTCTAAGATTATTTGCCGTTTTGGGATTTGTTTAATTGGAAAATGTAAGTTTCAACTCATCAAATATAATAACTCTGCACTTATTTGTATTTCAGCAACGAGTTCGATACCCGTTGGTCATTTTATTTACCTAATACAATTAATAGAAGCCGTTATTACCAACTCATTTGAGTAATTTATAAGTGCATAATCTGCACAAAATTAAATATCAGGAAGTCCACATATGGACGTGAGTATGCTTACTCATTTAATAATCAATGCGCAATTACTGTAATTTTAGTTCTTGAGTCACGGAGTCGAACCATAAGAAATCCACCCCTTGCGGAGTAACGAACATAGTTCTAAAGGGAGCCCTCGTCAGAAAGATAAGTCTTTCACCTCGTCTTTCACCTACCATTCACTTATCACTTACACGCATCATCTCATATTGTTAATTGTCAAAATTGTTATCACTAACTACATTATTGTGTGCCGATCAGTGTTTAAAATTTGCAAGATTATACTCAATTCATTGAGGTGGCCAGTAGAAAGCGCTTTCCATTGTCCCTGCTCAATTTCTGACATCACAGAATTGTTTTATTATTGCTACTGTCCACTGTGAATACCTTGCCTCGAGATTGCCATCCTCTGGCCTCCATTCCAACAACGAACCCCAATCCTTCCAATTAGTTGTACCACGTTTGCATTTGTTACACGAGGCTACCAAAAAAAAAGTATTGCATCGCCGCGTGGTTACAGTATAAAAAACGCATCTTATTTTTTTGTGGAAAAAGGCAGCTCAGTACTTAATATAGTACCGGCGGCAACACCTTCGTCGAAAAAATGGTGGCACAATTTTGCGGTTGCGCGGCTAACGATTCTTATGATTCTTTTACATACTGCGGTTATGTGACCTTCTGTTCGAACTTTTAATTAACAACGATATTTCACGAGATGACGTACACAACTCACATGAATCGCCTTGAAAGCTTAGCGGAGAATTTATTGTTACGTGGTATATAAATCTTCGCGTTTACGTTTTTAGTTTTACTTCGAAGGTCTGGCTACTAATGCCGCTCTCTCACCAAATTCTTCTATTCGTCGATCTGAAAAACCGAAACGGATTTCCAGACAACCTGGCTTCGACTGCGTTTTTTCTACATGGCGGAGAGCATAAGAGGAGCATCTCATGGCCCACATTGACGGCTTCGTCAGTTTCTAGAACCGGCAACACTGTAACGTTTCGATTCTTATCTGCTTGAACACTCGTCCTTATCTTAAAGCGCTTTATTTTCTCGAATATTACTTCTGTTCTTTTTCTTTACGAAGCGGTACACGTATAACATTTTTTACATCGGCAAATTTGGAAATTTAGTTTAGTCTAAAGCGACCACCTGTGTCAATGGCAACTAACCATTAAATCTTTGAATTTCATGTCACAATTTGTTATTGTTGACATTAGACATAAAATTCTGATATTTGAAGTGTAGCGGACTTTACGCCTCCCAAATCGTCCGATACTCGCTCGCTCGATGCCTTCATGTCCATCGATTTAAAAAAGAACGAATGGACTGATTGTAATAAAATTTTCTGGTGGATTCTTTATCAAATTTGTGGATCGAAGTTCGTGAATTCATACCATAGGTCAAAAAAATAGAAGGCTCTTTTCTTTTGACATCTCCGTTAGTTATGAACCGAATTGTATGAAATTCAAACTGAGCCATACAATACGCAATGCCAAAAGTTGAGCCTAATCAATTCAACATTTGCAGTGCTTTTGTAGCGTATTTTCGCAAATTTATTTATAAATACTTTAAACGCGAATTGCGGGCGAACGGGGTGTCGGAAGTGGGTACCGACAAAGGGAATGTGGTAGCTTCCGAAAAGATCGCCGTCGAGGCGTCTGGCGTTGAACACATAATATGGACAGGATTGGCGTGTGTGCGGATGATGGCGCCTTGAGCCAAGCTCCCAGCCCAGAAGCTTTCAAATGGAAGAAGCTTTGCCCAAGTCAGCTGTCTTGGTGTTGGCTTCAGGACTGCTTATAAAGCCAACCCTTCGAGTGGCGATGTGCTTGGGGTGCGCAGTGCCTATTTGGGCGCCGCCGGTAACAAAACTGGGATTCTGTAGCCGGTCCGTGCAGAGTGCAGCTTGGTGGAGAACCATTTTTATTTTTATTGAAGGCGGGTAACAAGAACACATATGTTCCTGGTGCACAAACATTAAAGGCATTTATGAACAATTATTCTATTGCGTTAGAGTATTGCCGCTTTCCGTTGCGTTGCCATTTATTGTTGAGTAGCGTCGTAGTGTCTCCGATAGTGGAATTCGATTTCCATCGGCCATCTTGTGTGACACTTGAAGACCGCACCATTTGTCCGACCATCCGATTATCCAATTACTTCAAAACTATTAGGTACTCAAGGGGGCACAGTAAGTAAAAGAAAACACCTTTAGTATAAACTTTATTTTGTACACCTTGTAGGGACTTATATTGCTTGCTTTACTTTAATTGAACTAACTGAGGGTTTGTTGTAACAATGCAACAGCCATTACTTACAACTACAATATTGGAATGTTCAATATATTAAAAATATCATCTAAATAATTACAAAAAGTAATAAATATTGTCTTTATGTGGTACTGAGCGGTTTCCTAATTTTAATTAATCAGCGGAGGCTAATCCTGCTAAGTCGTATATAGTACGAAATTGAGTCAGTATAAGCTTTTATCAAATTGTACTCGTTTACGTTTTGTATAAAAAGGACTAGAAGTGGTAACTCTCTAAAGAACAGTTCTTTAAAAAGGATGTCGCTGATATGTGTTCACTATTAAGTAGTCTTACATACACAATGCTAACGGTGTAATAAACTACAATTGTGCGTGCAACATACCAAAACCCCATTTATTGGTGAGCCAAACTATTTTTGTACTATCCTACCTATTTATAGACAGCAGATTTGGAAGAAGATCATAAGGTATAAGGCTCGGTTTATTACGCCAAATTTTACGTACCTACTTGGAAATTATTGTTGGCGGTGCAACTGTGCCAATATGGAAGCCAAACTCTCTTTGGAACTACGACCATCCAAAGTTAATCCCGGTAATTTGATAAAATCGACTATTAAAAGGTCTGTAGAAGTCTCGTAACCTTTGGAGGACAGTGGGATTGATGAACGGATGGTTCCGACCTTTAGTCTTTCCGAGGCAATGCGGCGAACTGCGACCTTCGCTTTTAAACAGACACGGAAAGCCTTTGGTCGAATTGAAATAGAAGTGTTTCTCAGTGACAACGCGCTTCAAACCCAAAAAATCCTGCACGCGTTTCAGCTCGATCGCCGGGTCGACTATCAACCTTTCACCGCTGACAAACAAAAATTGCGAAAGAGGAAAGTACTTGAGCCAGCGTATTAAATATCGGGCGTAGATGCCGAGCTTGATAGGGCCCCAGCTCGTGTCGATTGTGTTCCTTGTCGAACCGTTCACGAACGCGAGCTGCTCGAACGGTTTCATTTCGGCCTTCTTCGACGCGGCCTGCGTGTAATCGGAAATCGAACGAGTTACCGGATCTCTAACTACTACTAAAAGCTTAGTGGAGGGATTCATGTGTTGCACTCTACGTGGAGCTTCCTTCGTTATGAAGTACGACGGCGACTTTTCGATCGTTATTTGACCTTCTAGAGTTAAAGGCATGTGGTGACGGTACCATTCGAAACCTTTCGAATAGTGCTTGTCGAAGAAATGGACCTCGCTTCCGGCTGCTCTCACATCGGGATGAATGCGGATAAACTCGAGCAGGGCGCGCGTGCCTCCCTTTTTCACTCCGATGATGAGGGCGCTTGGTAGCTGGCGTGCCGGTTGCAAACCTTGCTGTCGCAAGAAGCGGTACTTGGGGGAGGCGTCGGTTTCGTTAATTGTTAGAAGTGGAACTACACGCACTGCGGTTGTGTAGTGTAGAGGGCTGGTGTATTTTGGTACTAATGGGTGATGTCGCCACTGTAACAAACAATAAACGTCAACTAAAATTATCATACAGTACAAATTATTAGTATTTCAGACCGACAGATAGATCGACAGACAGACCGACGGACAGACCGACAAACAGACAGACCGACAACATCGAGAGTTTGTTTGATTTTAATTCCGGGTGTTTCAAAACATCTATTTCCGTTATGAAAAAGGGGGGGGGGGATTTTTTACCTCCATTACTAACGTGCGTGGTAAAAACAAACACTCAAGTTATGAATGACGCAGAGAACCTCGACAACTTCTACTTTATAGGGGGTAGGTTAGGCAACACTAATTACACGCGAGCGGTTGTAAGGTTGCATAACTATCTCTAGGTGTTTTTCTAGTCTAGATGAACCGACGAAGCGTAGTCGGGGAGGAGCCAGGGGATGAAAAGAAAGAATGCGAAAGAGAGAGTAGTTTGAGTTGTTCAGAAAGAGCAAGAAAGTAATAAAGTCTGCAGAATAAACGAAAGCAGAACGAAGTGAGCGGAACTCAATTAGAAGTGAAGTGAAGGCAGAGGAAACAAAAAACAGAAGAATTCATTGAAGAGCTGATGGAAGGAGTAAAGGGGATGAAGTGAAAGAGACGATGAGGGAGGAACTGACGGAAAGTATGGAAAAATTAGAGCGACAAAATGAAAGAATAGGAAATGAGTAAATATGGAAAAAGGAAAAGAGAGAGAAAGCACACACCAGTTGTTAAAAGAAAACCTAGAAGTAGAAGCGAACGTAAAAGAATTAAAGAGAGAATTTCGACAGGTAGCTAAAAGAGAAAGAAGAAAGTGCAAAAAGGCAAGATGTGGATATAGGAAACAAATGAGAGATCGCGAAAAGTACAGATAGAGTAAAGAAGAAAAATGGCTAGTAAGATAAGAAAGAAAGAAAATGCAGAGGAGAGAGAGAGAGGTTCGGGCGTACAAATTAATAATAAAAGATAACACAGAGGGAGAGGTAAAGAGAAGAGAGAGTTTGAAACCATAAAAGGAGAAAAAAAACAAAGCAGAACAAAAATTGATGTTCTGGAACGGGGCGGGATTAACAAGTAAGGATGCTCACTTCTGGGAGTTAATATAAGAGGATATGACAATGACGTCGTGAGTTTGATAGAATTGTGGATAGAAGTACAGAATTGAGAGAAAATAGAGAATAGGATACCGAGGGAATACATTTGGGAGAGCCAATTCGCGAAGAGGGATAGTCGAAAGGGAAGAGCAAAAGGAGGTATCTTAACAGGGTAAAAAAAAAGGATAAAGTAATGGGGAAAGAGGAAGAAGGAATACAGGAACGAAAAGTGGAAGTGGCAGGGAAGAGAACGAGAGTGATAACCATTTATAATAGAGAAGGAATGATAGATGAAATAGAAAATATGGTAGATGAAAGAGAAGAGAAGGGGCTAATATTTCGGGAAAGATAGAAAATACCGGAGCAGAGAAAAAAGGAGAATGGGTAGAGATCAGAATAGGAACACAAGAAAGAAAATCAAGAGATAAAGAGGGCAACCAAAAGGGAGAAGTGTTATTGAAATCAGCAGGAAGGAGAGGAAAATTCTATACCGAAATATGGAGGGAGATGGAGACGGGTAATTCACATACATGAGAGGAAGAGGAAGATCAGCAATTTAGTAAACGACCACATCCTGGAAGAAATGGAACAATTTAAGATAGGAACAAGGATAGAGTTTGGATCACCAACCGATGGAAATGAGCTTAAATATAAAAATAAGAAGGTCAAGAAAAAGAAAGCTGCAAACAAGGTACGAAGAATCGCATACGATTTTCAGTAGGGGAATTTGTTGCCACTCTGCTCGTGTTTGGAAACCAGACTTTTAGTCCGGCTCATATTAAATACAACTGATCCTTGAACTCGCAGAAATCGATTGGCGAATGTTTCACGTCGCTGTCTCTTTTCGGACAAACGGCCAGACGGACGGACGGCCAGACGAGCAGACGGGCAAAACCATAATATTTTTTTATTTCGAAAAACTCCCCTAAATAGATACAGTTATGGATAAGAGACTGTAGAGCTGTATAGAAGGAGACTAGAGGAACAAGTAGAAGAAGAACAGAAAAAAATGCAAAAAGAAAAGAAAAGAAGAAGAAACACAGCAAATCAGGGAAATAAAGACAAAGAAGGATCTTTTAAGGTGATAAACAGAGGAGCAAAGAAAAATAGCACAAGTGGGAGGGAAATGCATTTAGAGGAATGGAAAAAAAACATTTAATCAAGGTACTACAGAAGAAGCAGGTGAAAGAGAAGACTTTAAAAGAGGTAGGAAGATAAGAGGAGATAAGATAATAAGAGAAGTGAATGCGGCATAAAGAGACGAAATAGGAAATTAGGCTTGCATTTTTGCTACTGATATGGTCTAGGAATGGACGAGGAATCTACTAAATGAGATTTGAAAAAGAAGAAAAAGAAATGTTGGAGGAAACACAAATGGGCTTCAGAAAAGAGAGGAGAACGATCGACTGTATATATGTATTAGAGATTGGTAGAAAAGGAATTGAAAAAAAGGGCGGAAAGGTGTTTGCGTCTTTTATGGATGGATGCATGAAAGAGTGGAAAGGGGAAACGTAAAGAAGCTGATGGAAGATAAGAAAATAGACACGAAGCTAAAGGACAGAATCAAGGAAATATATAGATCGACAAGATTGAGAGTAAGAATAAAAAGAAATGAGTCTGAAGTTTTTTGGACATGTAAAGAACTAAAACAGGGATGGGACAGAGAGATAAAACAGATGAAGGAATTGATGAAAAGAATTGTAAGGTTTTCTTTGAGGGTAGCTTCTTAACGCCACACGTGGTGTACCTCGGTATATTTGGAAAAATATTTGTTTTGGTCCCCTATATCGCCCAATTTTTTTCTTCATAGTTATACCCTCTATTGAGTTAGGTATCGCAATAAACCTTTGCAACCTTCAAACATTATAACAAAATCTCCAGGGGGTTTACAGTATAATCGAATTCCGTATTTCTAATTGAATAAGCGTGTACCTGAAACCATAAAACATTTTTTTGGATAGTAAAAGTGTATTTAAAAATAGAGGCTGATTAGCAAAAAAATAATGAATATGTGCGGTTTTAAGGGTATTCAAAACGATATGATTGTGGCGGGCTCTGTAACGTAATAAGCCCGACCAATCAGCTCCTAGAACCATTCAGATTACATAACGAATTGGCAATATTGCAGGCGCACAAGGTTGCCGGTTTACTTCTACGTGATTGGTTGTAGGTTTGTGACGTATTTAAACTGAAGCGGACTAAAAACACAGCTTTTCAATAATTTATTTTGGTTTTATGTTACTCGCAAATAAAAATTGAGGACACGCGGGACTTTTTGTTTTTATTGGACAATGCAGATCAGAAATAAAAAATGAAGCCTCCTACATCAAAAACTTGTATTTGGAAATTTTCATAAATTCTAAAAAAATATATGGTCTTTTGTGGTGGAAATTTAAAATTATAGGGGTTGTGTGAAGACTGGAGAAATTAAGAAATAAAAAAAGAACACTATCATTAAAATAATTGGCATAAAATATAATCGTCTATGACTTTATTGCTCAATTAAAGTTAGGCAAATTTTAAATGACAAAAAAAAGTTACAAAACAAGGAAGCTATTGTTTTACGGTGTCTGAATCAGAAACGGCGCAACTTAGGTAATTAATTTTAATTAATGCAGCGAGTTCAAATACAATCAACCTGACTGCATTTAATTCAAGGATAAAAAACAACTAAGTATAAAATAACGTTTCTTAATTGTGACGTTGGGAAAAAAATACAAATGTGTCTTTTGAACTTGTTCGTCTGTAACTATTTTTAATATTTAAATTTAGCCCTCCTCTTTTACGCTGGAAGAGCCAGTCTGGCATAATTAAAAATACTATACTCACTTTTGGTAGCGACTTTGAAATGTTGGACACTAAACATGTATTAAACGTGTAAGATAAATAGAACGATAATATTCCCAAACACAGCAATGCGAGAATAATTTTTCGCGATACTGGTATTTCCATTCCATGAACACATAACAATTATAATAATTCACTAACAAATTAGCTTCCTTTTAAACTCTGTACTATACGATTGTGGCATTTTAAAAAGCGCGGTAAATTAAAACATGCCATGACGCGTTTTATAAACATACTGCAGCGATAACCTGCATGATTGATTTTATTGGCTGGTTGCATGTTGGTTTTTTTAGTTTTGTTATGAGCCGCTTTACGCCGATTGTCACCATTTTTTATTGTACCAGATACCTATTGATTTTCTAATAACCTGACTACTGATCAAAAGATGGCGCACACAGTCCAGATGAGATTATCTATACTGTGCCATTGAATAATTTTTTATTCAAATCTGATTTTTCTCTCCGAATGTTGGCTGGCCATCTTTCTACGATTGCCTTGAAAATGCAAAAAAATTACTTACATTACTTATATGGTTCCACATTACATTAAAATGGTAAATTGAAGGTTAAAATGATCAGTCTTGGCCCTAGTTAAATTTATACATTTTGATCATTCTTTTACACATGGAAATGTTTGAAGTTTGATCTGTGTAAACCTACGTACGAGTAAAGTGTAAACTAACACTTTCGCCGGGAATTAGGCGATAGCGGGGGTGGTAGTAATATCTGTAACCACTGTATAGTTACAACAGGAGTTACAAGGATGGAACTGATACCAAATCTAAACTATAGGCTGGAAATTCCCGCACAAGGGTCCATTGGTACCTGTCTCAAGGGTCAGAATCTGCTATAGTTCGTTTCACCAATAATTTAACATTTATCATTAGGTCGTTAAGTAGTGGGAATTCCCACTGCGACATTTAAAACAATAGCACAATTTATAGCCCCCATTTAACTACAAGTGAGCAGTTCTCAATAAAATTTTAATGTTTCAAACGCCAAATTGTAGTGCTCGTATAAATCGGCCCATTTTCTTAATAATCCATTTATTTAAAATGTAGTTCCTTAAGGAATGCGTCGATAGGACATTAACGACAGTAATCGTGTTGATACCATATTAATGTATTAATTAAATAGGTAGACACATATTCCAAGTAGTTTCCCCAATTACAATTTGGCGCAATTATAATAAAATTTGAATGCATCTGCTATATACACACACAATTTTGAGAGATGGCAATCTTGCGACTTTTTAGGAGAAGGAGAAATGTGTTTGTGCCAACGCTTCTGATAGCCATCTTGGTTTAAATTGTAGTCGAGACAAGATCGTATATAGTTTGTTGTTTGTTTGTGTTATTTATTAATGCATTTCTTTATGATACATATGTTTGGTATACAACTTTTTTCAACATTTTTAATAACTCTACGACTAGGAAACACTCCAAGAATAACAGAGGTATAAATTGTGCACTCTTTTATACAGACAAAGTGCATAATTTTAAACCGAAATATAGATTAGTAAATGGTTAATTAATTAATTAATTAATCAATTTATTAATTTATTTATTGTCCTTCTCTTGTTCTGGGTCCTTAACAGGCTTTCGCCCAATTACAGGGTGACACGCATACCTCGCTGCAGAAGGTCTTAAGTTGTAGTATATTACTCCGTTATTTACTTTACGAATTAGAAAACTGCAGGACAACCTAATTCGGAGTACCGGCAGAATGCTCGAAACTGATCTAAAGAAATTCCCATCTCTACCACAGATGCAAAATTCTTACTGCCTTCTAGTTTTCCAGGGCTTTCTAAAAAACTGTTCAAAAAATTGACGGGCGATAGGATAGACACTTCACCTTCACGCTTGGAACTCATACACTTTTCTTGTGCGATGAGATTGATTGGATCTTGCTCCATATCAACACCTTAAAAAAGCCTCAAGCCATGCCGTAATAAGGTAATAGAAAGCACTGTACAGGGTGAGTCAACGATTGCGCGGAGTAACTTAATGGCCCGTATGAATAAAAGTAAGCAAATGCTTATACTTGCTAAATTCAAAGTTTAGCATGGTTTAGCAGCGCTGCACTGCGTCCTGTCGTGCTTAGAAGCGCTGCTAAGTCGCCCAGGGCGAAGGGGCAGTTACGAGTATTTACTTTGAATTTTGCAAGTATAAGCATTTGCTTACTTTTATTCATACGGGCAAATGCCTTGAAGATAAGATTTTTCGATAGAGTGCTTTTGTATTATGATATGGTTGAATATTTTTCACATAAAAATATTTGAAATTATACAGTGTGTGCTCATAAAGTAGGGCGCGAAAATGGTACATTTTTTTAAATAGAACCCCCTGTATGTGAATGCATTTTTGAATTCTACGTGTAATTGTACGTCTTTTTTTATTATATGGTTAATATCCGAAAAAATAGTAGTTTTAAAGACAATTCGATTTGTAAGAAAACTTGGGCATTTGGAAGCGTCAGTATACTGTCAAAATTTCTACTTAAATTTTGATTCCAGGTGTTACACCTTTTATCCTGGGTTAAGTAAAAGTCAAATAAATACATCTACTATCAAACATTAAAAAAATAGCTTACAGGGTGTTTTTTTTGTAGGTCCAAAGTTGCAGAACTTCATATTAAAAAATCTCACTTTTTTTAAATGGAACACACTGTATATTTTTCTGTCATCTTTTAGCTCCTCCAAAAACCTTCAACTATTGATAATAATGTCCTATAAATATCTTTGATATTTTTCAAAATATCTTGGTTTTCCTGGTTTTTATATTCTAATCTTAAATAATTAATTTATATGTAATTTACATAATAGTGAGGTGGGCATGCAAAAAAGAAGCAATTTTTATCTATCTCGTCCAAAACGTAAATCATATCGATTAATTTATTTTTCAAACAATAAAATGATTTTAGCTTTGAACGACGCAGATAAAAATTGCCTTTTTTGCATGGCCACCCCACTATTATCAAAGAGTACACAACGTCAGATACTCTTTGCTATTATGTAAATTACATATAAATTAATTATTTAAGATTAGAATATAAAACCTAGGAAAACCAAGATATTTCGAAAACTATCAGAGATAGGTATAGAAAATTATTATCAAAAGTTGAAGGTTTTTGGAGGAGCTAAATGAGGACAGAAAAATATACAGGGTGTTCCATTTAATAAAAGTGAGATTTTTTAATATGAAGTTTTGCAACTGTGGACCTACCAACAAAAGCACGCTGTAAGCTATTTTTTTAATGTTTCATAGTAGATGTATTTATTTGACTTTTATTTAACCCAGGATAAAAGATATAAAACGCGGAATCAAAATTTAAGTAATAATTTTGACAATATACTGACGCTTGCAAATGCCCAATTTTTCTTACAAATCGAATTATCTTTCAAACTACTAGTTTTTCGGATATTAACCATATAATAAAAAAAACGTACAATTACACGTAGAATTCAAAAATGCATTCAAATACAGGGGGTTCTATTTAAAAAAATGTACCAGTTTGGCACCCTACTTTGTGGGTGCACCCTGTATAATTCCAAATATTTTTAAAATGTGGAGAATATTCAACCATATCATGATACAAAAGCACTCTATCGAAAAATCTTATCTTCAAGGCATTAAGTAACTCCGCGCAATGGTCGACTCACCCTGAACAATGCTCTAATTGTTCTGGGAGGTACTCAAAAAGTCTAGTTTTTAAAAACTATCAAAGGTCTGGTAAATGTTTCAGCGTTCTTTGGGGCCAGTAGAAGGCTTTGGAAAGGCGTTATAAAGCTATGGTAAAACCTTGGAAGACACTAGGGTTTTCAATTGCCCTTTAAATAAGCGATTAATTTACTTTTTTCTTTTAGAGAACATTTTGTGCACTTTCCAGAGATGTGCAAGTTTAGAAAGCTATGGGGGGGGGGGAGCATAGAGGGCTTTGATGCTGCACAACATGCTCTAAAAGGAACCCAGAAAGCCCTGACAAAATCCTGAAAAGGTCCTACAGAAACTACTGGAAAGGGCATACATAGAAACTCTGGCATGAGCCTTCTGGAAAGCTTCCGATGTTATTTCTAGAGCCTCTAAAAGTATTCAGAAAGTCTCCGGGATGCACTAAAATGATTTTGGTTGACTGACAGAATCAGCTCCCAGTAAAATGTGTATTGAGAACACCTGAGATTTTGGTGTTTTTATAATTTTAAACTTTTGGGTTTGTTCTTTCACATAGCGATAAATAATTTAAAAATTTATTTCAACAACATCTAATCAATTATGCAAACAATATATTCCGAGAATCTGTATGCTGTAACAAAAGCTTTGGCGACAGTGTAAGTCTGTATGACAAATGAATCTAGCTTGCTCTACATGAGCCCTTCCAGGCGCACTAATTCAAATCGGGAAGATTCACTCTACAATACTGAAAGCAAGAATAATTGCAATCGGAATATGATACAATGGTCTTCCCATCACTTAGGCAGACATCAGGTGGAACGGTTTTCGATTCACTGTAATGAGAAAAGATAGAATAAATAAATAATTTGTTTTTATTTACCTTATACACAATTTGAAATTTTCAGTCTTCTTGCTCGACTGCTCTGGGACAAACACTTTGTAGTCGAACTTGCTCTCCACTTCTGTCGGTTCGTAATTTCTAGGCCCACAATCTTGAAGTGCTCTCAAGACATCATCAGTACTTACGTTGGTACTCGACAGTGGTCGACATTTTTTATTGGGGGGCTCATCGCTATCACCAGACGAACGTATCAACCGGAACCCTCCCAGCGAAAATTTTCTGTAAACTAAGTATTGATGTAGATTGTCACCAATTATCCCCGCGTATGCTTGCTGTATACTCATAGGGACATCGTTCCAAAATATCTCCAGCCGATTCTGCACACATTTCATTAAAGCACAGTTGCACTCATTTACTTTCACTTACAGTTTCTAACAGAAACATTGCTTCTTCTGGATATAAATACTTTCCACTTTTGTTTGCAAAACCATAGTTATTTATTAAGCCGCACACCTTGGTCACCTCCACTAATCGTTCAACGGGCCGCCAACATCCTGCTGCTCTGGCACATCTGAAAACTTCAAATTCAGAATACGAAGACTTATGTGGGCAGATTACCGTCTCTCTACACGCAATCGACTACATACGTCTAGAACGTTAGTCAAATGCTTGTCGATTAAAGCTGATTCGGTTTCACTATTGGTAGGTATAACGGATTTGTTGGCGATAACTTCCAAGTGTTTCGAGGGATTTTTGTGTGTATCTATTAAAGATGTGGCCCTGCATAAATGAATTAGAATTGTTATGCAATTGTAGTCTTCGTTTACCAACTGTAAATGTCTAGATTGTCACTACTCATCCCATATATCGATTAAAAATGTTCAATATTCTAAAATGTGATAAATTTATGATTTGAGGTTAGAATTTGTGTTTACAAATGTCATATGGAGCGGGGATCGTGTTTGTGTCTAAATTAGAGTTGTGCACATATGGGATGTGTGGCCTTTATGTACAAGCGACAAGCTGCTTTTTCAGATTGCCACTTATGAAACCTAATTATCCAAAATATTACCGTGTGTAAAACCAAATTAGGTTCATTTCTGTAACTTTGGGAGAATTGGCGGTATGAATATAACATTTTTCAGAAGTAGCACTAACTTTCGAAATCACACTGGCTCATTTGAGTATTTTGAAGCGCCCTGTGCCCTGTATATATCTTTTAAATAACTTTTGTTTCGATTAACCCCGTACAAATCATCAAAAACAACGTACCTATGAGGTGTGGAATTCTCTATAGAATCCAAAAATGTAAAAATAAACAGGGTATGCCATTTGAAATATATAATCACCTTCATATTTCAACAGAAAGTGAAAAATTTGCTTCTGGAGTGTTGGTGTTAAATACTTTTCTTATTTTAACATTATTATATTTGCAATAAACTAAATGCATCTACAGAATTCTAGAGTCAGCATATCATATTTTCTGTAAGTACAAGTCATATCCGCTTACATTCCTTATCGTCCGTGACTGATCCTTTATCGACTTGATGGCCAAGATAAAATCTTACCTTCTGAATTACGTTCAGGTTTAGAGTTTTTGAATTTGCAAGAAATTTCAAAAGCCAAAAATCTTCATTCTCACGTTTATTCACGGCTGCACACTAATTTCCATCAACTTGAAAGGTTCCACCCTGTATATACAGCTTACGACGATACATACATTTTTGAGAGTTGGCAACCATGCAATTTCTAGGTGGGAAAAAAAGCTGCTTGCGCCACCTAAAAAGCACGAACGAGAGTTACGTTTGGCATCTTGTCTTGAATGGAGGTCGTGAACGTTTCGCTCCATAAATGTTTGTTGTTATTTTGTGTTATTTAATGCAGGTAGTAATTTTTGCATTTCTTTATATCGTATTTGTGTTTTGTTTGCCGCATTTTATATTTTTTTTGTGTGTTTCAATATTTGTTTTTGAAATTTACTTGGTTTAACCGCAATGCAATCATATGTGTGATACCGTTATGCTATTGTTTGTAATTGTTTACGTTTTTGGTGTAATGTTTGCTTAATTTATGTTTATTGATGTTGATTACTTGGTCTTGTCCTTGAAGTTACATTCATGTAAGTTTTCATTTTATTTTAATATGTGGAAATTGCTGATTCGTTTGATGTATGTACTGACTTGTTATATGTTACTAACAATTTTCTCCGTGAATGAAGCAGTCTCGGGAAGGTGAAAAAAGAAACTGTAGTCTATAATTATGTGTTTTAGCACCGAATTCCGTGCACTGTCTTCGACATCCAACTGTAGGTTCGAAACCCCGAAACCAGGGGCGGACTACCCATCTTGCAGGAGCGAGATTGCGCTATCAAAGCTCTTCAGTTTAGAATCTATGTGCGTTAAATGAGTGGCGATTCAATAATTTCCACATATTTTGTTTTTAGTCAAATTTGCCTACAAGGCCATGTAATTTTCCATCTTGCTTTCAACAAAGGACTTTATTGCACCAAAGATGAGTCACATCGTGTGTATTTCACCCTTTCTCAGAATCTTGGTACCTGCTTCTACCTGACCCATTGTCCCCAAAAAACTTGCTTTAACCTTGAGTGTAACTAACATTGTGTATATGCATTTACTATCTTTGTTAACTACTGCTAAAACTTTTACAAAATATTTTGTTAATTAACTTTTGGACTGTTTTAATAATCAAACTGCAAGGTTTTTCTTACGTCGTACTCTTTTTATCCTTGGCAGTGACTTTTGCGAGAGTACGACACCTTTTGGCTTTGTTTGTTTTGTTTATATTAATGTACATCAACTAAATTTCCGGGTTTTCACAATCATAATAATTACGATCATTATTAAACAAACTTTTCACAATTTCAGTGTTTTATTTAACGTTCCTTCCCTACTGTGCTTCAGGTCAAAGCGTTATCTATAACTAACGTAAGGAGGCCCTGCCTTAGATGTTTTATCACGTGCCACTTTTCAAATTTAAGCGGGATCTTGTTTAGTTTTAGAGGGAATAGTCATTCGGGTGGCCATTTTTAAACGTTGCCGGGTTTATTTTATTTCCGTGTTCTTGTAGTGTGAAGTTAGCGTAGAACCTAGGGGTTAAGTACACTACAAACTTAACCTTAATACTAAACAAATATAAAATATTTTAAAGTGACTACTACAGAAAATGAATCAAAAACTGTAAAAGATGGTTGAAGGAAAGCAATACTTGAAACTACTGCCTAAGAAGAGGAAAGTAGAAAAATACAAGCAGTTACCAGAGGTGAAACAAACGCGTAAGCTAAAAATAAGTTTCAATTAAACCTAAAAAAATATGCAAAATAATGTACTTTAATTTTTAATAATAATTTTAATTATTTATTATGGAACTCTTAAAAACCGAAAAAAAGCTGCAGCCGGAACCGAAAGTCACTGAAGCCCCGGGGCCGGAACCGGTACCGGAAAATTTAAAAAATAATTCTGTTTAAATAGTGCGGAACCAGAATCTATATTTCATATGGGTTCCTAGTTTCAACTCTTGATTCTGTATGAATTAAGTAGCATTTTTATTATGAATAACGATGTACGGCACAAAAAAACAGAATTTGCAAACTGTTGATTTCAACAGGATGGTGCACCCGCGCACAAAGCCCGAATCGTGAGAGAAAACGTGTGGGACAAATTTTTCGTTTTCCAGAAATTTGTCCGAACCCACATTTTCCAATCTCCATATATTTTGCGTCAATTTTATCGCTTTTATAATTTAATAATAACAGTCATTATGAGACATTTAAAATTAATGTCATTAATCATTACATCATGCCTTTTGTTAGGTTTCTGGAAATCACGTAAAAAAGTTTTATCGTACATAGATCCAACCGACTGAACGCGGCCAAGTTGATCTCCCAAGGCGGCATAAATAATCACAGTCACATTAATGTTGTTCTAACCTCAAATTTACACGCCTTCACTTCGATAACACTAACGTATAATGGCTAAAACCTCTTTGCAGCCTCGAATTGTCAAACCAAAATTAAACACAAACATTAAGAAGAAGAAGTTACTTCAAAGTGCTTCAAAAGCAGGAAAGAGTTTGAAGATTTTGGTCCCCAAGCAAACGAAGGAGCCAAAAACAGATCGGGAACCTCTAAAAAAAGTACCACCTCCCCTTATTGCCAAGGATGAAGAACCTCGCAATTATGTTAAGCTTTTCAAGTTTCCATTCGACAAAAAGCAAATTTTCCAAGGTGTTATCGCTTTATTTAAGGTACTAAAGAAGGTACAAACGAAACAGGAGCTATTTGACGAAGCACAAGAAATTTATTTGCAAGTGACCTGTGTGAAAATCCCACAAACACCAACGCGACTTCTTCGTTTTAATTTAAAACACGGCTTACTGACCGACACTGGTGACATTTGCCTAATAGTAGCGGACAAGGGAGTTAAAAAAGATCATGATAGTACCATAGAATATTACGAGACCATTCTAAGTAAACATGGTATTACGAACATTAAGACAATTCTACCATTTAACCAGTTTAAGTCGGAGTATGGAATGCAATACGAGTTGAAAAGGAAACTCTTGGGTTTGTACGATCATTTCCTGGTCGACTCGAAAGTCGGCGGTAAGGTTACGCACTTGTTGGGGTCGATATTTTACCAACATAGGAAAATGCCAACAACAGTTAAAATGGATCATCCGAATTTAAAACAGCATTTTGAGAACGCCACAAGGACAACAATTATGAAGATGCACTCGAAAGGCGATTCTTACAATCTTCAAGTGGGCCACACGGAAATGACTAAGAGGCATATCTATGAAAATATAATGGGGGTTTTGGAAGATTTTCGATTGCATTTTCCAGGTGGTTTGGAAAATGTGAGAGGTCTTGGTGTCAAAATGGCTAGAAGCATTACAATTCCGGTCTATTTAACGCTAAGTAGGTAGGTTTATGTTTTGGAAACCGTTTAAAAGGGGTTACTTTCAGAAAATAAAAGCGCCGTACCTGTGCCACACTGGGAACGACCACGGCCCAAAAATTATAAAACGGCCGAAGGAGAATTATCTACAGAATTGGACACCGTCGTGTACGTTACTCCTGAAGGAAAAGTTAGGGTGAAGAGAAATAAAATAAAGGAGCAAACAGATGAAGTCACCAAAGAGTTAGAAAATGCTGAACAGTATGAGGATGATATTGAAACAGATCGAAGCGACGTGAAAAAAGAGGAGCAGGAACAAAACTCTGATGAAGATAATGATGATTTGATGAAAGCAGAGGAAGAGTATTTGGTAAATTATGAACACGAACAAGAAGACGACACAAAAAAAAATCAAAAGAAAAAAGCAAAGAAGGAGAAGAAAGTTAAAAAGTAAATTTTTCATTTGTTTGTTTTATTTACATTTGTTTTAATTGAATAAAGTACATTTTCTATTTTAGCTCATTGATTTTGTTACGTGATGTAGCTTGTTTAATTTTTCTTGAATCAACAGAAACATTACACAACATGACTTTTAGTTTGTACTTTTATACAGGGTGTTTATTAAACATGCAGAAAAAATTTAAGGGACTATTCCTTGGACTAGTCTAAGGATATTTTGTCTTTCGATGATTTTTGATAGGACGCGTGGTTTCTAAGATACGGGGCGAAAAAAAATTTCCACAACAATTTATTACCAAAAAATTACATATGTAATGTTTCTTAATCTACACGAACTGTTCAAAATGACTACTCCCCGCTCGGATGCAAGAATCCAATCTTCTCCTCATTGACTCACGAACTCTTTCAAAAATACCTGGGATCGTTTCTGATTGCGTTACATCCAGCAATTATCCGATTTCAAAGCGCCCTATCAAAAATCATCTAAGGAGAAGATATTCTTAGAATAGCCCTTTACATTTTTGCCGCATGTTTAATAAACACCCTGTATAGAATTCATGGAGTAAAGTAAAAGTGTCGAAACTTTTATGGTGTTGCTTTACAGAAATCCAGATCGCGCACATAATTAAAGGTGACAGGGAAGAGGTAAGTAACGAAGAAATTTATAGAAGATAAATGGTAAAATTAAGAGTAAAGTGCGCTTCATGTTTTATATATTATAGTTTGATGTTGTTCGTGCACCTTTTAAATTGTTTATAAATCGATCGAGATCTCGAGATATCGTAGTTTTTGGGGTTTTCGGTATTATATTCGCTACCGTGTGTATTCCTGCATCGCTTAGTCTAATATAGCGCCTTTTATCTAGATAATGGAATACAGCAAAGTCTTGGGATTTTCAGCATTATAGTTCGTACTCATCAAGTTATTCCTGCATATCTATATATATATAGCGATGTATAATGTGTTGATTTTCCATTTGTATGACGATTGTAAGCTGTTTCTGCACTGCCTGCACATGAATTAAATATTATTATTATCGCTTAGTTCAAAAATTATAGTCATTGCTATTGATAATTTGAATTTCATTAAAATGTCGCTTTTTATATATCCTTATTACCTCGGCAACGGAATATTGTAGGAACTTATTAGGGCGTTTGCACACTTTATGCGACAGCGACGCAATTTACCGCATGCGATATGTAGTTCCGATATCGGATGAAGTAAAATTACATTTAACAGACGCAAAGCTTGCATCCCAATACGATGCGATAAAATATCGCTGCGACTCGGGATACAGTCGCCAATCATTGGTATATGCGGTCACAAATATAAATTAGTGCTTGAACACGTGTCGTACTTGGAACTGCGATAGTCGTTACGTTGTTTCCAAAAGAGACTCGGTTCTGAATTGAGATTAGTGTTATATGTAAACATGTAAACAACGCCTGCATCTGGAGGATTTGATCACAAATAAAGCTGGATTCACATGCATACGAAATCCGACGATACTGTAATCCGAAAGGCGTATGATTGGTCAACAATTTCAAATTTGCTTAACATTTGAAATCGTGAATCCAGCTTTAGCACGGAATTGATTTATATTGAAGGGTTCCATCCGGTATATACTAACTTACGGCGATACATACATTTTTGAGAGTTGGCAACCATGCAATTTCTAGGTGGGGTAAAGCTGCCTGCGCCACCTAGAATGCACGAACGGGGGTTACGTTTGGCATGTCTTGAATGGCGGTCGTGAACGCGTCGCTCCATAAATGTTTGTTGTTATTTTGTGTTATTTAATGCAGGTAGTAATTTTTGCATTTCTTGATATCGTATGTATGTTTTGTATGCCGCATTTTATATTTTTTTGTGTGCTTCAATCTTTGTTTTTGAAATTTACTTGGTTTAACCGTAATGCAGAATCACATATGTGATAGCGTTATACTATTATTTGTAATTGTTTACGTTTTTGGTGTAATGCTTGCTTAATTTATATTTATTGATGTTGATTACTTGGTCTTATCTCTAAGTGTCATTATTATAATTTATAAGATTTGATCATTTTATTTTAATATGTGGAAATTACCGATTCGTTTGATGTATGTACTGACTTGTTGTTTGTTACTAACAATTTTCTCCGTGAATGAAGCAGTCACGGGGGTGAAAAAACACTGTATAGTCAAAATTGAAGTACGACACCTAGTTCCGTGATTGTCTTCGATATCCAGCTGTCGGTTCGAAACCCCGAAACCAGGGGCGGACTACCCATCTTGCCGGAGCGGGATTACGCTAATCAATGCTCTTCAGTTTAGAATCTATGTGCGATAAATGAGTGGCGATTCAATAATTTCCACATATCTTGTTTTAGTTAAATTTGCCTACAAGGCCATGTAATTTTCCATCTTGCTTTTAACAAAAGGACTGTATTGCGCCAAAGACGAGTCACATCCTGTACTCTTAACCCTTTCTGAGAATGTATGGTACCTGCTACTACCTGACCCATTGTTCCCAAAACTTGCTTTTAACCTTGAGTGTAACCAACATTGTATAAATGCATTTACTATCTTTGTTAACTACTGCTTAAACTTTTACAAAATATTTTGTTAATTAACTTTTGGACTGTATTAATCAAACTGCGAGGTTTTTCTTACGTCGTATTCTTTTTACCCTTAGCAGTTACTTTTGCGAGAGTACGACACCTTTTGGCTTTGCTTGCTTTGTTTATATTAATGTACATCAACTAAATTTCCGGGCTTTTACAATCATAATAATTGTTACAATCATTATTAAACAAACTTTTCACAATTTCAGTGTTTTATTTAACTTTCCTTCCCTACTGTGCTTGAGGTCATAGCGTTGTTTATAACTAACGTAAGGGAGCCCTGCCTTAGATGTTTGATCACGGGCCACTTTTCAAATTTAAGCGGGATCTTGTTTAGTTTTGGAGGGAATAGTCATATAAGAATATATTATTATATGATAGTCATTCGGGTGGCCATTTTTAAACGTTGCCAGGTTGACTTTATTTCCGTGTTCTTGTAGTGTGAAGTTTACGTAGAACCTGGGGGTTAAATACACTACAATTTCATGGAAATTTGTAAGCACGGAATTGATTCATTTCATGGACATTTGTAGTTAGTGTCTATTTATCCATTTTGGCTTTGTTTTTAATTACTTAATTTCTTCTGTACCTAAATTTTAATTTTAATTTTGTTTATATTATAAGATGTTAATATTGCGTTATTTAATAAGAATATGCAGTTATATCAGAGTATGGTGGTGATTGAATGTCATCATTTACTAGAGCAAGTATCATCTAGCAACTCCCTGTCTCATATGTCACATATACCAATGCTATTAAATAAATTATCTCTCATTGTTACCAACCTTAGAGATATTTTTTGTTTTGCGTCCTCATTTTTGGAACGCCCGATATACAGAATTCACGGTATGTGGTTTGCTAAAGGGCGTATCGGCAATACCGCCTTTTACCAACCAATGAAATATTTGTTGGCCTTGGCAACACTGTCTCGTTTCAATCAAATCAAATGTGCTTGTCAAAGAGATGGAAAACATTTTAGAAGAAAAACTACGAGAAGCGGCATGTACAGGTGATACAGAAGCTCTACAAAGCCTTATCGCTCAAAACATAGACATAAATTCACAAAATGTCGTGAACGGGTGGTAAGTGCGCCGAAATTATCCGCTTAACCTTTAATGTATTCAATTCCTTAAGGACTGCCCTTCATTGGGCTTGCAAACGGGGAAACGAGGAAATTGCTAGAATTTTAATTAACAGCGGAGCGGATCCAACGGTAGAAAACTTTAAGGGCGAAACGCCGGACGCGGTGTGCTCGAGTTCCTCGATTTTCAATTTGTTAAACATTGATAAGCCTGTACAAAACAATTTCGCCCCGAACGAAGATAACAATTTAAAATTTGTACCTAATTACGTGAAAAATCCACCACTTAATGGTAATATAGATTTAGGTCCACGTCTGCGAACACGTCATCCCGACTTATCAAGTATGCCAACCACGATTCTTCCTGCTCAAAATGACGGTAATATACAGTATGGTTGTGACATGCGGTTATCAATATGAATTACCTTGCAGATTTGGTCTTAAAAGTGCGAGTAGCCGGATCAAACGATCCCGATTTTATAGAAATTGAAATACCTAGATGGAAGCTGACTTATTCGTCATTACTGCACATATGCTGTCAAGAGCTGGAGATTAAGGAAACCCAGGTGGAACGGATACGAAAATTGCCTAATACGAGGCTGAGAAAAGACAGCGACGTAAAACGTTTAAATGATTTGCAATGCCTAGAAGTAGTGATAAAAGCACCACGTGACAAATATAATAATGGCTATCAGAGCATTTCTGTTTGTAAAGACCAGACTATTCTTTACTGATATACAATTTTTAAGTTTCCTTGCCTAATTTAGCAATTCCTTTTTTAGTACAAATTGACACCAGTTTTTAAACTATTTTGTAGTTAGACTATTAGCTTAGCAATCTCTATACATTTAAGCAATGTAATTAAAGTTTTACATTTTGTCTTTGTTTTATTGGTTTGTGTGTGGTCAAATCAAAGTAGTTTTTAAAATGTAGGTAAAAATTCAACAGCATTTTTAAGCTATTTCCAAAGCTTTTTCTTTGTGCTTTCTCCAACTTCCTAGACCATTTTTAGTCTTGGCTTGTCTAATCCGAAAGTTCCAGAAAAATCTAAGGGGTCTGTGGAGGACAGTACTCACCAATGTTTTTAAAGACAGACCAATCAAACACTTATGAGGGTATTAGTCTCCAAAACACCTTGTACTACCCTAACAAAGGTTTTTGGGACTTTTTAAACCGTATTATCGGGGCTTGCTAGACCGATAGGGATTTCTGATATTAATGCCATAGGCTTTTTTCTTGTTTGGTTCTTTTCTTTCCTGGTTCTTTTTGGTCCCGAATCAGGGAAAATTAGCCCACTGCAAATTCAGAACCAGTCTTTGGAAGTCTAAAGATATTTAACAGAAACGAATAATATCATAGTGTATTCTATTCTTACACTATGATAACATGCACATTCTTCGGGACCCAAGTCGCATTTAAAATGCGATTTTCTTAATCCCAGAGGCAGCAAAATGCTTGTTTAGTGTTGCGTGTTGCTGCTGTTGCTTAATGTTGCGTGATTATTGTTGCCTGCTATCTGTTGCATGTTACTTGTTGCCTGCTGCTGGTTACTTGTTGGCTGTGGCCCTCGTTGCTTGTTAGCTTGTTGCCAATTATTGTTGGTTGCCGGTTGCTTGTTACTTGTTGCCGGTTGCCAGGTGCTTGTTAGCTTGTTGTTTATTGCCTCTGTTGCTTGTTGCCGGTTGCCTATGGTCGATTGCTTGTTGCGTGTTACTGGTTAGGTACCCATTACTTGTTACCTCTTGCTTGCGGCCTGTTGCGTGTTGCTTATTTTAACTTGTTGCTTGATGCAGATACTAATATATAGTGATAGTTCAGAGAGTACTCTTCGAAAAGGTTTGAGAAGGGTTTCAAACTACAAAATATACCAAAAAAACCTTGAAAACCACACAGAGCAGCGTGGAAAGGTCTTCTTTTTTACAGAAAATGTTAGCTCTTTTCTAGAACATTCTATCGTTCATTCGAAGCTGTTGGGAATCATTTTCAAATCCCTGAGGACTTTCCATCATTTATTAAACATTTTACAAGATTACGAGTGATCCTTGTCCAAAGCATTCTATATAATAATTTTTCAAAATTTTGCATCTTCTGGTGCGTCTCGAAATGTAGCATACGAGGCGCTAGCGAGTTTTAGAAAGCTCTGGAAAACACCATCCATAGGGTTCGGTTACTTATCCTAAGAGCCAATCTCTGCAAGGCCTAAGGTTATGAAGTTCTCAAACTTCTTGGTGAGTAATTACCATTTAAATTAAAAAATAATTTCGAAATAATATGTTTCATATATTTAGGTACAAACTCGCATTACTCTGTTTGTGATTGGTAACGTGGCTCCTGTTCTCAACTTTTAAGTAGTAGAGTAAAGAATGTATATTGTTGTGAATGAACTCCTACGTTGCGTAATCGGTTCTTATATGTGTTGGGACGTGAGACATAATCGGGAAGGGAATTAAATAAAAGACAACACTTTTGTGCGTAAGAAATGACAAGAACAAATAAATATATTACGCACACAACAAGAGACCATGCCAGGGAAACCTTCTACGGGACAAAAACCCCGGTATAGACCACACAAATACAAGAAATAAATCACCTATACTACAGCAATAAAATGCAAGAGAAAATACACTTAAATAAAACATCTCAGATTGTATGATAAAAATCAGATAATCAAATCAAATGCAATTAAACAAGTGCATAAAAACAAAATACACAATCACACGATAAATGCGATAATCAATTCAGTACAAAACACATCAAAATACCTGTACGATCAATTGAGCTAACACAACTCGTAAAATAATAAATTGCATGTACATAGGAAACATGTAAATGGTGGGGCTCTACTCTCCAGCCTTCATTCAATATAATTTTATTTAACACGAAACGTACATGTGAGAATGCCAATAACAAGTATTAATGTGGAAATCGATTATCGCTCAAGCAGAGCATATTTTAAATAGTGGAAATGTTAATGAGAGGGCCCCTACTTGCATTGCTAAGATGCTAAGAACTGCAATCCGCACGAGACGAGTAGGCAACAGATACAGCGAAAGATTGAACTGTAGGTATTAGGCACCTACTCCACGGAGACAGAATGTACCACTCGCACACACAAACATCGAAACATCAAATAAGAGAGCCTCCTTCGTGTATAGCTAACGCACAAGAACTGCAGCGCGCCACGAATCAGAACAGATACAGCGAACAATCAAACTGTATTAGGTACTTCCCTCACAGAATAGCTACGAATCAATCGGACAGAGCAACATCGCACTGATGATCAACTCCTCGTGAATACAGAAATAAATACTTAATTAAACAAAATAATGGCATAATCACCCGTCCAGTATAACAAACACGATCCATCGAACGGTACTCAAAACAAAGGCATGGAGTACGCCATGATTCAGATATCGTAGTTTATGCAAAATCAGCAAAATGTAAATAATATCTAATTGTGGTAAGAAATTCAATTATTAATAGCTAGTACAAGAAAGAATAAATTGGTTACTACCTGTAAATACACCTTCAAAACACCACAACCAAAATAATCAAGAATTAAAACCGGGAACGCGTGATGCCTTCCGTCGACCTCGTCGCCATCTTCATTCTCCCCTAGCTTCCTTACGAAAATCCCCTAGTATTCGGCATCTGCGCAAAACGGTCGTTTGGTAGGTATATACAGAGCATATCATATTTTTGTTTCACATGTAAAAGTGTGTGGCCTAACCATAAGGGTCGATTATCACACTGTACTGAGTTTACTCTAAGCAGGTATATTGGAAACCATGTATTATATTTATTACAGTGTGGAGATTTTCCTGGGAAGGTGCATTCTTTACCATCGGGGTAATTTTTGGTCTAAAGGTGTTTTCATGCTTTGGAACAGCGCAAAGTCTACTGGTTGTGTCGTGGCAATTTCAATAAAATTAAGTTCTAAGGCATTTTGCAAAGGCCACATCCGTTGTTATCAAGCGTGGGTGTGTGCCGATTTTTAAGTGTGTCAAGAAATCTGATTGGTTAAAAAAATGGAGACGCGGTTGCGTCACGGGATGGGTGCGTCAGTCAATCAAAAAAGTAAAGCAGTGGGAAATGGGTTGTTCGGAGAGAGCTGTCAGGCAATGCGCGTTGAACCGCAAGAGCGTTCGCGTTGAGTACCTACAAAATTAAGTCGACCAACTGTAAGTTAGCGCAGGGTGGTTTTTAGTTTGCGTTAGGCAATTCCGTTAAGCCTCGGGACAATTTGAGTCTGGACGTGTTAGAACAGTACAAGTAAAAGCTGTGCGCGATCAGCTTTCGTAGGTTATATATACAGGGTGGAGCCTCTCAGGTTTCTGGCGAGTCATCATGATGAATCTTGTTTAGAGTTCATGGGTTTTGACGGAAGCCTGCATTGTTTATAAGACACGAGAGCAATTGGCTTCGACCTTAAGTGATAATTCGGTTTTAGCGCCTCCTTCTAGTCCTCCTTGAGAAACTCCTGGTTCCACAGAGTAGATCTGGGGCCCACTCTACAATATTATATACTCTCCCTACACACAAGTTTTTGTGGTTTAATTTTTCAATCGAATCGAAACTGAGGTCGCGTTTCCAGGCGAGTATTTACAAATCCATCGATCAAACGTGCGTGTCGCCCGCTATGATTTACGCACGTTTGTCGTCCTTTCAAAATGGCAATTCCGATACTTCAACCGCGCCTGGTTTACGGCTTGAGAACCGATATAGCGGGGAACGCGCATTTCTTAAGCGACGACGAAGTTTTGTATCCCGTGGGAGGACTTTTGGCTGTCAACAATTTCGCGCAGAAACGTCAACGATTCGGGAAACTGCCGGAGAAAGGCAGGAACGTTACGCAAATATGCGTAAGTCCGAGCCGGTACATATACCTATTTCCGTTTCCGGGGAAAACTAAAATGAAACCTTGCAGGAAGTTGATTGCAATCTCAGAACGTGGCGAGAAACCATCGATTTACTTGTACGATGCGGCAACATTGAAGAAGAAGAAGCAGTTGCACCTACCCGCCGAGAAGGATTCCGCTACTCAGTTTGCGACGATGGAGTTCTCCTACGATTCCTCAAAGTTGTTCGCGGCTTCTGCGGAACCGGAATGGACCATGTATGTCTATCGAACTGACAAGGGGAAGGTGGAAAATACTGCGAAGGGAAACAATTTAAATGGCACCGGGACTGTTAACCAGGTTAGTTGAAGATGCGCCAATCACTTTCTGACTGTGCTTTAGATCGCGTGTAACCCAAACGATTTTAACGTCGTCGCATTAGTCGGAAGCGTCGTTTTCAAGATATTGGCTTGTTCGGATAACGTATGGAGGCAGTTTGGGTACAGTAAAGCCGACAGCTTAAATTTAACTGCGGTTACTTGGTTGGCGCAAGAGCGACTTATGGCGGCGACTGCCGATGGAAAGTTTATGATCTTCGAAAGTGGCGAATTGAAAATGATTGCTTGGGCGGGCGATCTTCCGGTTTTAAGTTTGAAGGCAGCCGAAAAAGAGGAGTAAGTTTCGCGCAAACAGTTTCGCCTTATCAATTTAGATTGCACGAATCTTCACAGACGAATTTGAGTGAGCCCAGTGCTGGAAGCATCCAAATGGGCGAAGATTACCGCATTCACTGCCTCATATCCTTTCCAAGAGGGTTCGCCTTTGCATACCTAAACGGAACCGTGCATTTCTACGAAAAAGAAGCACCGCATAGATATAAGAAGAGGAACATTTACAAAGTGCCTGATCGTAATATAATCAGAAAAGAATCAGACGCCGAATTTGTAATGAATGAGATCACATCCTTGGGCATCAACACCTCTCAGGAGAGGCTGGTGCTTACGTGCAAGCAGAATCAGCTCTACACCGTAAAACTGTGGGGAGTCGACCTGTTCACCAACCCCGAGGTGACGTTCACGGAATACGGGCAGGCGCTGCATCACGGAACCATCGGCGGCTTGGATGTCTGCGCATGGAAACCCATCTTCATAACGTCAGGCGAATGGGATAGGACCTTAAGGGTTTGGAATTACGAGACCGATTCAATCGAATTGATCAAACAATTCCAAGAAGACATACGCGGTGTCGCCCTTCATCCCACCGGCTTATACGCGGTCGTGGGATTCTCTGACAAGCTTCGCTTTCTGACCATAATGATCGACGATTTTGTTACGACCAGAGAGTTTCCCATTAGAAATTGTAGATCGTGCACGTTTAGCAACATGGGCCATTACTTTGCGGCGACCAATGGCAATTTGATACAGGTTTATTCGACAACCACTTTTGAGAACGTATTCAATCTCAAGGGACATAATGGAAAGGTTTGTTTCAATTTCTAATGTTAGAGATGGGTTAATGATAATATGTTTCATCACTTTAATTTTCCAACTCGCACCCAATTCTCTAGTGGATGAATCATCATTTTCCGATCATGAAATATGGCAATATTTAGTGCTCTATTTGTCTGCTATTCAATACCGGAATTCATGCAGCATATCAAAAATCTATTGGAGATTCTAACCTTACTTCGGTCGGTCGGTCTGTCTGTCGGCCTGTACTCTCATTTCCGGCTAAGCGGCTGAATCAATTGCAACCAAATTTGGTGCACATATTCTTAAACGCAAAAGGAAGTACTGAAAAGGTTGGGGGAAAAAGGCGCATTCGCAGGTGTGCGAGTGGTATCACTGTGCTAGCCACAACAATTTTTTTTTGGTGTACGACCTGCTTCATTATGGTCCGGGATCTTTTCAATTTCGTAACGGATGATAAAAAATGAGTTGCTGTCTAGTCGCCTTTGGAAGTTTAAGTTAAAGTACGATTTCCCATGTAAACAAAACTTCCAAAGGTCCCTCGACACCAACTCATTTTTGATCGCATGGTATATGTTTACCCATGTAGGAGCGGGAAAAAATAACCTTATCGCAGGGGCGACTAAACCCCAGGAGGTCAGCCCAAACCCATGGACTGACGTTTGAGGGCAGTTGCACATATGACAGGACTTTGACTTTTAATTCTTATTATGGTCCTAAATTTTTAAATATCTGGACTTGGGTTGTTCAACAGTTCCACAGTTATCTTGCAGTCTTCATAATGTTGGTCCTTTTCTTTTTCCATATTCATTTCTAATGGGGCACAGGAGTTGAATAGGAACGTATTTAATATTAATGAAACAAAACAAGTATATATTAACTCTTGTGTAGATAAAGCGCATTTTTTTAAACCGAAATACCTTTTGTTTTGACTACACCAATGGATATATTTCTTCCAAACGTCCCAATCGCCCTTTGTAGGTACTTTTCTTTGACAATTCACTCTTAAACTAGTTACACTCCCCCCCCCCCCCTTCACCCCTCACTCCGTACTTTGATAAGAGGACATAAAGAAGGGCAGTAGTTTGTAGAAAACTGTTCCTTTCGTTGAGACCTTTAACTAGAATACAATGAGAGATAAAATTAATGTTTAACCCCCCCCCCCCTCCCCCAGTTATAGTTTGTTCAAACTAATTTATTTCGATGGGCCATCAATTTTCGCTGTCTAAAAGCCCCCCCCCCTCCCTCCAATTATTTCCTGAGATGCTGTTTTTGTGAAACGTGCATAACTTTTCCATGCGACAACCAACTGGTTGGATTTTGAATACGCATGCCCTACTGGTGCCAAGTTAAATCTTAGAAAATGGGGAGAGGGGGTAAACACATGTTCTACTCTTCATGGTATTCTAATGAAAGGTCTCATCGAAATAAATTGGTTTGTATAAACTATAACTTTCCCGTGCGACTCTTTTTCGAGATCAGTGAGCGACGGGGGGGGGGGGGGAGTTAAAAATTAATTTTATCTCTGATTGTATTCTAATTAAAGGTCTCAACGAAAGGAACAGTTATAAAACCGTTTTTTCCCTTTTTCCTGTCCTCTTATCAAAGTACAGGGGGGAGGGGGGGAGTGTAACTAGTTTTATCCTTCATGGTACTCTAATGAAAGGTCTCAACGAAAGGAATTAATTTATACTAACCATAGCTTCCTCCTTGACCACTTGGCGTGATCGGTTATAATTCCTTATATCTTAAGAGTGAATTGTCAAAGGAAAGTACCTACAAAGGGTGATTGGGACGTTTGGAAGAAATATAACCATTGGGCATTTAAATAGAATTTGATACATAACCACTTGGGATAAAACCAAATTTAATGGCAGTTTGCCAACTTTCTTATTTATGGAAGAAATTTCGTAAGGGTGTTTAAAAAAATGCGCTTTACCTGCACCAGCGGTTGTGCACAATTTATACTTGTTCGATTTTGTATGTGGGTGAGCGGTTCTGAATTCGGTCCTGACTTTTTAAATGCGTGTAAAAGCTTGATGCGCTAGAAAGTCGTGCGGCGAACTTGGTCGGAAAGTCCGCGCAAGTCGGTGGCTTTAAACTGAAACGCGATTGAAAATCAAATTTAATTTTATACAACGAAAATAAATGTACATTCATAATTAAATATAACTACGAATCGGGCGCCACTGGGGAATGGGGCCTTGGCCCTAGACAAGAATTCGGAACGGTTGCGAAACGGTTGCCACATGTCAGAAAAACGTCTAGTGATTTTGCGGTCAGCTGTGACCAGCTTCTCGCGAAGGATCTAAAAACAGTACTACGGCACACGGTAACGGCAAGCTGAACTGAAGTACAAATTAAATCTAGAGATCTAGAGATCACCGAAGCTTTTTTAGTACCTTCTAGAGCATCTAACACCTTTTCAAAACATCCTTATGTCCAAACTGTCTTTTGTATAGATTTGTTCAGACATTTTCTTTGCATTCTAGGCGAGGTACCTATACAAAGATCTGGAAAATCCATAGAAATCACTTCAGGCTCCGTTAAAAATTTAAAAATAACGCCTAGAAGGTCGTGTGCTTGCCAAAGTATTTTAACACTGAAAAGGGAGCGCTATGATGGAGTTTTCCAGGGTTGTTCAGGTATTCACTGAGAGTGGGTAAGGCTAATTTGAAGCAGTTTAAGTGACCAAAACTGCTCAGTCAGAATGATCCTAGTTCGAGTCTATGGGAAACGACGAATCTGCAATATTAAACGGTCCTGAATTTGATGTATGGCACTAAAACGAGCGTAATTCGTTGATTTAAACTAATCAAATGATTACAAATGGCCGATTTCATTAATAAGGCGCCATTTTTGGGGCGTGAAACAATTAGAAGGTAGGGACGCGTGAGGGGGGAAAGAATGTAAAGGGGTATGCCATCGAGTGAGAAGCTGCGTGTTTCTAGTTCGTGAGATAATTTTTATGCGGGTAGTTTTAAAACAAGTCAAATTCGAAAATGCGAATCGCTGTTATGCGGGTGTCATTAGAAAATTTTCCACGAAATGCCAAGAAAGCTAGGATACGTATTTTGGGATTACGTGAATTCTTGTGCTTACGCAAGAAGAAAGGGTGATGATAAAGCGACACCCGCGAAACTGAAATAAAGTAGCTGCCACTTTCAGCGCTCTCCTCAAACTAGCCGAGATTTTTTAAAAGAACGGCGGCCTCACTTGCACTTTCCACGCATCAAACTTGTCGTGCCTTGCGTGGTGGCGTTTCTGAATCGTACCGTGTAAAGGAGTCGCCGCTACCTGCCGCGTGGTTATGTAGCGAAAGTCCGCTACAAGTCTCTGTAGCGCTTCAAAAACGGCTCTTATAAAGTTTTGTGAAAATGATTGTTTTGCACCGCATGGGGGAAATCGCCGTGTTGATTTTGCTGATTCTACTGCTCACTGTGGTGTGATGCATATCAGCTACCACATGTTCCACCACAACTGTATTCGATTCTCGTGGCGACGTAAGTCTTAAGTCTCCACTTATCTAAATTTTTTATACATAATACACGCCTGGCATTTTTTACACAAAATACTTACATACGCCTTATAGCTAAACAAAATTTGAATTTAACACCAAAGCAATGTTATGAAATATAACTTCCCAACTCCTTAAGAAAAGAAGTCTCTCTCCAAGAAAAATTGAATACTGGATCGTTTATAGTACCACTTCTTGGAAATTAGGTTACCGAATTAACGGTTAAATTCACCTTTCTAGTTTAACTCTATATAGTCGCAATTCAAAAATATTCCTTTACGTAATTAATTGTATTAGTAAATAGTTGGGTAGGCCAAGGCGCTCCTCTCAAACTGATTGTTTTTCTCGGAACGTTATTAACACGAGCACCGCGGTACGCACTTTTTCTTCCGACGTTTTATTCGGACAAGTTTATATATTTAAAATAGGTATAGCCTTACTCCAATTCAAACCCACGAACGATTTTCGTTTTTTTCGTGATTCACAAAACTTTGCATTTGAAAGATTCTATAACCTCTAGTTTCTCGTCTGGTACAATGTATTGCCACGTTTGGTATATAAATTTAGTAACTACTAAACTTAGCGGTAAAAGCGACACTTACTTGCGACCAAACTGAATATCTCTTACAATCGTGCGTTTGAAAATTGGGCGGTCGAAAAAATTGAACAATATTGAGCTATAGAACTCTCCAATTTTCTATATATGTATAGATGCCAACGAAACGGACCCAACGAAACTGCCACGATGGTCCTACCCTGTCATCCAATAATTTGCTCCTATATCATTCTTTTACCCCCGTTTCCAGACAATTCTAGGCAAGTTCGCCCCTAGGTCAGTAGCCGCCGAAATCGCGGCAACAGCGCACGTTCGTCTTATCGTTTGCTTATCGCTATGCCCACTCACGTTCACCTTTCGTATGAAGCGGTACATATGTAAATGAAATACAAATTCAAAACAATTTTAAAACTGAGAAGAAAGCTCTCATGTTACAATACCCATGATCATACTGCATATACCGCCAAAAATGTGGGTTTGTCTGGAATATTTTCAGACGGATAACTTCTGTTTGCACATAAGATTAGATATACTTCCTGCGAAGCAAGAGGGGGGTTGTATTATTTGAGCAAGGGAGTGCTAAGTTAGTTTATATAAAAAGTGGCCACTTAACGCTAGATTTTGAAATAAAATTAATATTGGTTTTTGCTATTATTATGAAGGGCCGTAGTTGAAGAAGGTGGATTTTGACTTTTTTTAAAATATACTAACAGACCCTCGAGTCGTACCGCCTTTGGGAAATCTCGTTTTCTTTATATGGGACTGTACCACCTCACCTCGCCCGCATCAGTCAATGTATGCAAGCTTTTCTTTAAAAAACATTGTTTTGGAGATATATTCAGTGTTCCAGACACAATATGGTAAATGCCTGTAGAGTTTTCAATTATTGAAGAAAACATTTATAAGGTTAGTCTCTTAGCGATTTTTAGAAAATATATTGCACATTTCAGGGACCTTAAGGGTATTCCTTAGAACCACATTAACATCAAAAACCTTTCGACGCGTAATCCCTTAGATCCTTCTCCGTGAATTTGCGTAGAAAATTTTAGATTTATAACTCAAAAATTTTCTTCGCATAACGCCCGAAAAAGATTTACTACTTATTTTGAACACAGTTGGTTCTATCAGAGCCCAAAACCGAATGCCCTCATTCTATCTCATTAATCCCTACTTATCTTTTAAATTTACAAAACCACCCAAAAATGGCGCGGAGTAATTAAATTAATCATCTTCTCTATCAACTATGTCTGCCTTTAACCAATCCTACGGCTTTTTAATTTTTGCGTTTCTCGTCGACTTCGACTCGAAATGGCATCATTTTGACTGAGCAGTTCTGGTCAAATAAATGCAATTAAGATAGTATTATCGCAGAACGATTTCTAAGTAAATATCAAGAAATTGAGTGCTAAATATTGTCAACACTATGAGTCTAGCGTTTCCTCACTCATCGCGGTATCATCACTCCAACTGCATGGTCAAACAGCCCCGAAAGTGGTTTTTCAGTCTCCTTAACGGTTTAGGGGACAACTACGAAAAATCATTTCCTCAATTTTAAGGGATGACGCTAATCGATTTCAATCACCTGAGACCGAGTACTTTCAGCTACTATCAATGTCGTGGGTCCATAACGACTACAAGATGACATCGTGCGGCAACGAAGGCGCTGTTTACGACTGGGACATCATCACGCAGAAACGTGTCGCCGAGACGATCGTAAAATCGTGCGCATTTTCCGGCGTCGCGGTAACGTCGGACGGCAAATTCTCCTACTCGATCGGATCCGACGGACACATCCGCCAGATCACGAACGCGAACATCTATCGCGAGGTGCTCGTCACGAAAGACGGATTAGACTCGATCGTCCTCTCGAACTCTAACCAGATGCTATTCGTTAGCGGAAACGAGGGCACCATCTATTCGGTTCAGTTACCCATCCTAGATACGGCCGAGTACGTGGAATTCGGAGGTCATTGCGCGACAGTGCAAAGGGTGAGATTTTTCCGCGTTGTCCCTAACCTTGCAAGTTGTTGTTTCAGATGAGAATTTCGTACGATGATCGATTTTTAATCTCGGCGTCGTCCGATGGCGTCATCGCGGTGTGGAAGCTGATGCACACGGAAGGAAAAACGTTAAAAGTCGACAAGGATTTTATTCCCTCTACCGACATACTCATCACGCGCGTTGACTTGGAGGAAAAAATCGAACTGATCAGGACTTTACAGTTGAGAATGCACGAGCTGATGACCGAACATTCCTATCAAATGAGGAACGTGGAAGCGCTAAATAATACCAAAATGAGGGAAGTGCACGAAAAGTACTGTATGGCGCTTGAAGATTTAAAAGATAAGAATGAAGTAAGTAAGTCAAATTATAATTCTTTTCTTCTCCTTTCGAATTCTTCAGATCCATATCGTCTTTTAGATTTGTATGATTTTTCAAATTTTTAAGTTTGAGGGAATTTTTTGAATTTTTCGGTTTCTTCATATTTTTCCGCACCGTCAGATTCATCTATCTGTCGCTAGTCGAAGGCGGAGGAGAAGTGGGCGGCCGGCTTCGGCTGGGACGGGTGTTGGCGCGTGTCCTGGATAAGCCAACACTACTCTCGCGGCACGGATGGTATTGTATAGCGTGTGTACTCCCGGGGGCACTCGCGATCGTAATGTTCACTATGGGTCACAGACTCGGCAGCGAGGGTGTGGTTGTGTCGTCAGTTAGAAAGAAGTTTGTGCGATACCGGTGTTTTCTCGGCAGTTTGGAAATTGGTTGCGTATCACTCCGGGTTTTCCGCATCCAAAGCATGCGAGGGTGGAGGCGGGTGGTGTTATGACTGGAGTTGCCGAAGGAGCTTTTGTGGGTGGTGCGCTTTCTTTGGCTCGCTTCTTCTTTCGGCATTCAAGCCGTGTATGTCCTACATGGTTGCAGTAAGAACATCGCGCAATCTTCGTTGCACCTTGGGGTTGAGTCTTCGCTTTTGTGGGTGGGCATTGTGAGTTTTCTTCGAGCCCTAACGTTGGGCGCCAAGTTGTTAACGGTAATGGTTCTTGAAGAATTTATTAAGGGTGGGGTAGTGTTGTTAACACGACAGATGGGGAGTTATTAGATGGTTGGCGAGATTAATGCCGTTAGGGTTGCAGGTAAAATCGTCAAATGGGGTGTTACGGGAGTTAAAATCCCCCAACACGGCGTGGCGGAGGGTGGAAGTATAGTGAAATGGGTCATCCGGGGGAGTGTTATCTGGTGAATTGTAAAAAAAATTGGGAAGTGAATGGTGGCGGCTACACATTCTAGCTGTTGGAGGTGGGCCGGAAGAATTAATGAAGTGAAGGGAAAGCGGTCCTTAACAAGTAGGGCTGTTCCACGTGCTTCCCTGAGGGAACTGTTTTTCTGAAAGGTTTTACAACCTCTAAAAGAGAGGATGGCTTTGGCAATTAGTTTGGTTTCAGTTATTGAAAGGATCTGTACTTGGTGGAGTGACGGAGGTTTATCAGGGGACGTTTGCGGTGTATGCCTCAGGAGTTAACGGTACCGACGACGAAATCCATGATTGTGGAGAAAGACTTAAAGGTTCTGCTGTTGAGGAAAGCTTGGTTAATTGCCTGGGTGAACTCCAAACGAAGGCCGGGAAAGAGATGGGTAAACGTGAGGGTTACGGTACGTAGGGGTAAAAAACATTATTGAGTAAATCGGTTATGAAGAATCGCTGGAAAATATTTTCAAGTTCTAAAAATGACTACCGGAGGGCGTAACTGCTATCTTAAATTTTAAAATTGCATTTTCTTTCAATTCCGCATAATAAACTAAACATTCTTTTTTCACATTTTTAAAGAGAACCAGTTTATCTATCATTTTCATAAAAACAAAAACTCAATTATTGCAAAAACTAAGATGGTGTGGGGCGTTCAATTGTTTTGCAATAACCTGCTTTAACTTTTTAACCGTTTGACCGATTGTAACAAATTTGGTATCGTTGAAAAGAGCATTCCTTGGGCAATAAGAATTTAGTTGAATCATATTCCGCCAAGGGGCTACTTTTGACACTATGATCCAAAATCCAAAAAAAATCAAAAAAATCAAATGGAATGATATGACTTTTTCTTTATGAAAAAGTAGCCCAATAACATCCAAAGAGGCCAGTAAAAACCGTTTTTCAAAATCTCGTTCCTAACCTCAAATATTGGGGAAATGAGATTAATTAATTAATTAATAAAAGTGCTTAAATTGTATCTTATTTGACGTATTTCCGGTATTTGTCGATGGCGCCTACACTTTTAGGTAGGCCTTGGAAAATTAAACAAATGAAACACGATGCATTATAAAATAATAACAGCCGTAATTTATAAATTATTCTGCTATGTTTACATTCAGAAAGTGCGGTTTTTTGAATTTGTAATCTTTTCTAAACTGCCGATTTTTAACCAAAGAACATTTAATATGCTGGGGGCGCTGGTTCGTGGTTGATTCGGATAACGCAAATAGAAGACGCGGGAAGCGATGGTCGCATTTTGAAAATATATTGCCAACATTTTAAATGCTTCTTTTGAAATTGGCATTTTAGAAAAGATTACAAATTAAAAAAACGGCACTTTCTGAATGTAAACACAGCAAAATAATTTACAAATTACGGCTGTCATTATTTTATAATGCATCGTGTTTCATTTGTTTAATTTTCCAGGCCTACCTAAAAGTGTAGGGAACTTGATTGATTCTTATTGCCCAAGGAATGCTCTTTTCAACGATACCAACTTTGTTACAATCGGTCAAACGGTTAAGAAGTTAAAGCAGGTTATTGCAAAACAATTGAACGCCCCACACCATCTTAGTTTTTGCAATAATTGAGTTTTTGTTTTTATGAAAATGATAGATAAACTGGTTCTCTTTAAAAATGTGAAAAAAGAATGTTTTAGTTTATTATGGGAAATTGAAAGAAAATGCAATTTTAAAATTTAAGATGGCAGTTACGCCCTCTGGTGGTTAGTTTTAGAACTTGAAAATATTTTCCAGCGATCCTTCATAACCGATTTACTCAATATTTTTTTACCTCTAAGTCATTATGACGAACGGTTCCCGAGATATGGCCGAGGAGCATTCTTATTGGGTCACCCGGTACAATTGTTTTTGTGAAGTGATGGCGTGTGGGATGTTACGGATGCAGGTAGCGGTATGTTGTGGGTGAGTTTATCGAGTGGTGGGGCTTGACGGAGTCGGAAAGAACGTGATAGAGTGCGTGTTCGATTTGTAGGTTGCGCAGTTGGCGGTGTTGCAGGAAATTTGGTAGTAGAGAGCGTTTGGTGACCTGTGTTATGCAGTGGTGGTTTTCCGTAGGGTAGTGGAATACGATGGGGCGGCGGTAGACTGTTGCGTTGGTATAGGAGATTGGGGAAGGGATTGTTGTGAGGGTTTGCGATGATGGAGGATTGGCGGACGCGGGGTAGGTGGTAGTGACGTGTCCGTGGTGAACCATCACAGGCTTCTATTAAATTGAAACTGGTCGGGGAGTAGGAGCACCCCAGGGGGTGAAACGGGTAGTAGGAAAAAACTTGTTAAGCGGTTATGTTATTTATTTATTTATTTATTTATTTATTTATTTATTTATTTATTTATTTATTTATTTATTTATTTATTTATTTATTTATTTATTTATTTATTTATTTGTTTATTTATTTATTTATTTATTTATTTATTTATTTATTTATTTATTTATTTATTTATTTATTTATTTATTTATTTATTTATTTATTTATTTATTCATTTATTCATTCATTCATTTATTTATCATTTTGGGCCCTCAACAGGCTTGCACCTAATTACAGAGTGACCCCCATAATGATTTTTTAGAGCTGCTCCTGCTACTATACTACTCCGGTATTTACCTTACGAATTAGGAAAACTGCAGGGAAACCTAATTCGGAGTAGCGGGCAGAATGCTCGAAATTGATCTAAAGAAATTCCCATCTCTGTCACAGATGAAAAATTCTTATTTAACTTCACTTTTCACGCAGCGGCTGTAGATCGGTTGGTGGATTCTTCAAACACGCTTCGTATTTTTCTGAACCGTTACTTTTTCTGGTTCTACTTTATCCTTCTATTTATTTGAACTACTCAACCTTTCTTGGTTTTTTTGGGACCGTCCGATTTTTTTCTTCTGGTTCGCAAAATCTTAAATTTTCCAGTACCAGATTTTTTTAACTGTTTGCAATTCTTTGGTTTCCTCAGGTTTTTTGGATGTTTCAATTGTTGTTATTTTTGATCTTTTAATTTTTCATGATTTTACAGGGACTTCTTCAGATCCATTGGGTTCTTTAGATTTTTAAGTTTCCAGAATTTTTTCGATTTTGCTGACATATTTTTAAATTTTTTATAACTTTTGGGTTTTTTGAGTTGAAGTTTTTATTACATTCTTGATTTCTAGATTTTTTGAAAATTTTATGTATACTTACCTAATTTGAGACTTTACCAAGACTTTAGTTCAATTCAAAATTTTGAATTTCTTTTTTGGTAATTTAAATTTGTGTGTAAAAGTTTTGAATTGCTTTTCTCTCGGCAACGGTGCTAATTTTTTAAAATATATTTTTGAATTTTTCCGATTTTTCATTTTTCATAGGGAGGTTTAAAACAAATAGTTAAACAAGTATAAATTGTGCACAACTCTTGTGCAGATAAAACGCATTTTTTTAAACCGAAATAGCTTTTGTTTTGACATCACCAATGGATACCTATATTTTTTGCAGACGTCTCAATCGCCCTTTGTGAGTACGCTCTGCCGACCCGTTCTTGAGGTATAAGGGAATATATCCGATCACGATAAAGAGGTCGAGGAGGAGGGCTATGGTTGGTAGAAATTAATTCCTTTCGTTGAGACCTTTCATTAGAGTACCATGAAGGATAAAACTAGTTCAACCCCCCCCCCCCCCCCCAGAAAGAAGAGCAATAGTTTGTAGAAAACGGTTCCTTTCGTTGAGACCTTTAATTAGAATACAATGAGAGATAAAATTATTTTTTAAAATTCCAGGACCCTAGGGCCATTCCCCTAGAAGTATATAGTTCAAAACGGTAGAAGTGGGTCCGGACGGACAAAACGCAAACGATAGCACATTTTTTTAATTCTTAAAAAATGCTCTAAAAATTAGGTACTAAATCATAGCTCAGCTTTCACTAAATTGACCTAAAAAGACCTGTGCACAATTTATACTTGTTCGTCATGTTTACACGTTGACACCAAAGCTTCTCCACAATGTATTTTAATTCCATTTGTAGCAATTAGAATCGGAGCACGCGCAAGAAATTAGTAACATGACTGTTGAAACAAGCAACCTAAAATTGGCGCATGAGCAGTTTATCCAAAAACTCGACGTTAGCTACAATGACAAACTCATCGTTGAATACCACAAATATATGAGCTTGGAAGAGAAGATGGGTGCCATGAGGACCAAATACGAGAAGGAGTTAGATGTCCTGCGCGATGCGAAAAAGACATCAGAAGAGTCGATAAAGAACGATTTTCTACAAAAGTTGCACGAGAAAGAAGTGCATGTGGAAGAGGTACTCACTGGTAACCAAAACAAACCAGTTGTTATAACGTTTCTTGTAGTTGATAGAAGAAACCAACGCGAAAACGCGAGAGCACGAGTTAATAAAGCAACAAATCGAAGATGACGCCGACAGAGAAATTTACGAACTGAAAACATCGCACGAAAAGCTGCTCAAAGAAGAGCAGGACAATAACGTCAAGCTGAAGGGTGAAACGGGAATACTACGCAAGAAGTTGCTAGCCGGCCAGAAAGAAATTGACGAGTTGAAGTACTCGGTTTACAGTCTTCAATGCGAACAAGCCAAGTTTAAGACCGCCATAGTTGGCTTGGAAAAAGACATCGCCGATTTGAAAAAGGAAATTTCGGAACGCGACACAACCATCCAAGATAAGGAAAAGCGAATCTACGAACTGAAGCGTAAAAACCAAGAGCTGGAGAAGTTCAAGTTTATTCTCGACTTTAAAATTAAGGAGTTAAAGTCGCAGATCGAGCCCCGAGATAAGCAAATACGTGAGCAAACCGAGCAAATCAACGACATGGTTAACGAGCTGGAGAACCTTCAAAAGATCATCGTTAACCTGGACATACAGCTTGGAGAACTGAGAGAGAAGCTGAGCGCGGCCGATCACGAACTCAAGAGAGAAATTGTTAAAAATCGAGCGTCTAAGGCAGCCCTGAAAACCATCAGAACAGATTTGCATCACGTCAGCGGAATCATACAGGAGCCGGCGAAGTTGGCAAAGGCGCTAAAGGTTTGCTCCTTCTCCTTGAACTTTTTTAATGTAGCTTTTCAGGAGATGTACCACAAATACAACGCCGACAAAGATTTCGACGTAATTCGCGTCGAGGAAGGGGAAGCCAGAAATGAGTTCCACCGCCAAAGAGATTTTCTGGAACGCACCGTAAAAACCCTACAGCAGCAGGTAACCACCTGCAGAAACGCTGCGATTCCTCATTCTACCGTTGCAGGTTATAACGTTCTCGAAAGCCGGAGGTGGCGATAAAATCAGACTGGTGGAGGAGAACGCGACCTTAATAGCGGAGACGAACAAGTTGAGGAGAAATTTGAAAACGGAATCCACCGAGAAGAAGAAGATGCAGTCTTTGCTCGGCTTGACCGCGAAGTACATGCCGGCGAGGCAGGCCCAGAAACGTTTGAACGAGGCCGTGATGACGAGCAAAGATATACAAGAAAGTTTCAAGCAGAAACTAGACGTGAGTTGTTCCTAGGTTTTAGTTATGTGACTTTTGGCCTTTTTAGGATGATCAAAATACGATTGGTGCATTGAAAAATGAAAACGCCCGTCTTCTCGATAAAATAATGGAGGAGAGAGAACAAAAATAGCTTTGATTTTAATGTTTATATTTTAGATTAAACATTCCACTTTTGTTTTATATACCTATTTGCTCCACGTTGAACTCCATGAATTGTTTATAGGTTCCATGTTCTTATTTTTTTACTTTGTGTGAAGAAGCCAGATCTTTATTTGTTTCAAGAAGTTATTTTGGTTGCATAAAATTAGGCGTCTTTCAGGAGACTTTTATCATGTAAAAGTAGACATAGGAAATCCCTATGTCTATTTCTACATGAATATCACTGTATATTCATAAGAATGAGTTGAATCATGCCATATATAACTAAGCCAGAAGGAAAACGATTTATGATTTTACATGGCGGTTTGCCCTAACTAACATCACAGACAACATATACTTGTTGTCTGTGCTAACATGAAACTCAAATCTTACTGGGTTTGTAAACACGCACATGAACTACCGCTAAAATACTGCTAAAACACAAATACCCGATCACAAATTTGACTCCAAGAAGCAATTGTGAATTAAATGTAAACGATTTATCAAATTCAATAAATGGTTTTTTAAATAGGTGCGATATTTATTGAATTCGCCCTGTATATTTTTTTATAGCGCCTGGCGTGATTTGAGCTGAAAAATATACCATATAACACAAAAAACTAAAACCACTAAATGTTTTGAAAACTGTAGTAGTTAAGGCCTTGGATGAGGCTTCGGACGGAAGGACGGATAAAATTTTGTTTATCAACATTACAAATTACAATCGGTCGTGGTTCTTTTTAAAGAAAACCCTGCAGGTAATTTCTATCGAAAATTAAGAAAGTCGGTGTCGATTTTTATATAGCTCTTTAGTTCAAATGAAAATTTTAAGTAACCGACCATTCCCACGAATCACCCTGTATTGCAGTCTGTTTCAGTCACGTTGAGAAGGATCGATTAATCGTCAAGCTTCTTTTTTATAATGAGTGCGACAATTACTCATAAAATAAACAGATTGCATGAGTAAACTAGACATGCATATGTATAGGTGATACAAGTTAAAAACATAAAAAAAATGGACATTAAACTAGTTAATCCGCTTAATTATAAAATACCGGTCTATGCACCTTAAATTCTGTTTATTGCCTGCTATTTATTTTTAATTTTATGTAGTGTACCTGTACATGTGTGTTAAACTAACGCATTACGTTAATTAATGCACGTTATAATATAAAATGATTTATGTCCACATGTCCGCAGGAAAACACAGTAATTTATGCTAATCACTCCACACTAATCCATTTGCGGAGATCATGCGGTTCAATTGCCATACTCTGATTTTTTCCCTTCTAGTAGATACTTTTATCGCTTTCCTTATGGATCATAAATCTGCGAGGTGCACAGAAATTTGTAATTGCAGTTGAATAAAATTGTCGCCGAGAAGCAACATTTAATAGACGTAAGTGGGTAAGGGGAAATTTGACCTGACAGGGAAAAGTGAGATTGTTGAGTAGAAGGTGCAGGGAGGGTTTCTGATATTGGAAACGTAAAAGATTGAAAACTTTATTAAGGGATTTTCTTTGATGTGTTTTCGCCCTATACCTTTTCTTTATGATTTGTTATCTTAATAGCATTGTCGTCAGCAGGACGGGGTGCGTGCCTAAAAGTACATGCATTTTTATTATAGGGCTCCGGATAGGTTCGATGATTTAATAGTGCAAATCGACGGAGTTTGAATTAAGAAGTTAACCAGTCTCTGTATTTGGACTATGAAGTTGAAATTTTGGATAGGCTAGGTAATTTCAAAATTTTAGTAAATGTAGAACTGTGTGGAAGTCGTTATTTCTATGTTAAAGTTAGTGATCATATTTTGGTATTTCAATACTGTAGCGTGTTGACCTTTTAATGGCTTTCGGAAATCGTAGACTCTAACTTGTTGGCAATAACCGTAATAATTCAGAATTCTGAATTTCATCACGAGATTAGTAGGATGTGCAACGTTTATAAACGGGAATTTATGACTCTAACTCGCGTGTAAACCGGGAGGTATAACCAATCAAATTTTCTCTTGAAAACAAAATGATTCAGAATAGGTAGGGATTAATCTGAAGGGATTTTTGAAGGCGTTACGCTAGAGGTCGTTGGCTAAGAGCTCAGATCGAGATTCGATCTTGAGCCACAGAAGTGTCAAACCGTGTAGCAGAAAGTCATAGAGTGCTAACTTTGCATAAAAATATTAATTTACTGTCCAATTTTCACATAATTTGTTGTCCCTATGATATCATTTTAGGGATTTAATGGGTCGGTTTCTGATGACAAAAAGGCCACTGCTAAATAAAATAAATAAAATAAATTAAATAAATAAAATAAATAAAATAAATAAAATAAATAAAATAAATAAAATAAATAAAATAAATTAAATAAATTAAATAAATAAAATAAATAAAATAAATAAAATAAATAAAATAAATAAAATAAATAAAATAAATAAAATAAATAAAATAAATAAAATAAATAAAATAAATAATGTAGCGAGTCACGCAGATTCCATTACCCAGTCAAGGATGTTCTATAATTCTTGCTCTATTGCCCATAGCAGGTCCACGGTAACTTGTTGGGGAACAAACCGAGTTTTCGTACACTGTGGGGAAGTCTTTCATGCCCTCCAGGCCCCCCGATACTACATTCTCTCACAAAAACGTCAAGCGTTCAAGACTCGTGTGTGCTTGTGAGAAAAGACTGGAATTTTCCCTTCTTGCGTAGTATTCCATACGCCACAGGCCTGCTGTTTTCACTATACGAAGGTTCGAGTACCCAGTAAAGGATGTTCTATAATTTGCTCTATTGCTCCTAGCAGTTCCATGGTAACCCTTTTATGGTTTTAGGTTTATCTATTGCGTTCGAGGTTATTATTTATTCCGCACCAAAATAGGTACCTACCAAAAAGGATGTTAACGTTTAAATCACGAGACGGCACCGAGTTGGGTAATCCTAAGGAGCGGCGAGTGGTAAACAATAGTAATAAAAATAGCGGTTAGCCCAATCTGTTAATGGACAAAGTAGAAAGAAAACCACTTTCATCCTGTGGTTAGCATAAAATACAAAAAGTCACTTAGGTATTACGCCCCCAGAAAAAGTTTATTAAACTCCAATGCACATAAAAATTAATCACCGCGTTTCTTATGGGTGGCGACTTTAAATTTTAAAAATTTCATTAAATTAATGGCATTCACCTCACCTTCAGGTTTATTTATTATCGAATTTACATTTCCTTAATCCCGTTGTAGTTGCATAACATAGTAAAATCGTTAAAATCCACAATGCGAATATAAAAGCCAATAATTTCCTATTGTTAAATTATTTAAATTTATTTTCAAAAAACGTGCATCGTTCACGATGTTGGTTTCAAGTTAAGCATTTGTCAATTTTACGGTCTTCATTCTCGAATGCTTGCATTTTTGGTTATTGACATTAAACTAATACCTTAGTTATGTGTCATGGACTTGAAGTATTATGTTTCATTTTTATGTATATACTTTTTGTTTGTTTTATTTTATGCGGGGGAACTGATCGGTATCTACGGTGATCGATTAATGTACCGTGTGTCCTATTTTGGTTGAGACTGCAACTCCGCTGTTTTCAAAGATCGAAATTTGCGGTTTTCGCGACCCTGAGCCAGTTTTTTTGTGGAATTTTTAATACCACAAACAGAATCAATATAGCTATATACGTTCGTTTCTGAGATACAGGGTGAAAACGAAAAGTTCTACCTTTTTGGATACTATCATATGGATGGACGATAGAAAAAATGTAAAAACCGTCTATTTCAGATATTTATACGTAGAATTTAGTGACGTAGTCAAAAAGAATTTTTGGACCGCGGTTTCTGAGGTTGGAAATTAGGTCAAGGTGAAAGTCACGTGGCACGTCGAGGTGACCTTGGAAATTAGGTTAAGGTAGAAGTCGCGTGCCACGGGGACGGTGACCTTCAAAAGTAGGTAACGATGAAACGCAAAAGGCAAGCTGTAGTTATCATATTACCTTTTTTGGGGGTGTTAAATTACATTTACAAGGTCGATGACCTCAATGGATGTGGTGTTAAATTACATTTTTAGGGGCATAGGGTTAATAACCCCATTTTTAGTGTTAAATAACATTTTCAATGTCATCTTAGGTTAATGACCTCAATTGTGGTGTCAGTATTCATTTTCAATGTCATCCAAGGTCAATGGCTCCTATTTTTGTGTTGTCAAATTACATTTTTAAAGTTATCCGAGGTTATTGCCCCAATAATTTCAAGGTCATTCGAGGGCGGTGACCCCCATTATTTTTGGTGTCAAATTACATTTTTAAGGTTATCGGAGGTCATTGGCCCTATAAGTTTCTAAGGCTATACGAGGGCATTGACCCCATACATTTTAAAGGTCATCCGAAAGCATTGGTCTATTTTTTGTAGTGTCAAATTACTTTTTAAGGTCTTCAGAGGTCATTGGCCCTATAGAATTTCAAGGTCATCCGAGGTTATTGTCGTACATTCTCAAGGACATCCTAGGTCATTTACCTCATTTATGATATCTTCCAAAAAGCTATATAACTACAGGCGAATAACATAACTATGCGAGTACGTTAGGATTGCGATTATAACTGGCAATAAACTGCTCTGCAGCTTCTTATATACAACACTGAAGGCCATAAAGGTCAAACATTGGGTCAATAACCTCGGATGACCTCAAAAATGTTATGGAGTCAATAACCTCGAATGACCAAAAAATGTTACCAACGCCCTCAGATAAATTTATTGGTTCAATGACCTAGGGCGACCTTGAAAATTTATGGGGCCAACGACCTCGGATGACAGAAAATGTAATTTGACACCACAAAAAATGCCTATCGCAAACAGACCCACATACTACAGAAGAAAAGTTAATTAAAGGACTCCCTTCCAGCATTGTTAATGCACAAGGGCTACAGGCTGCGCGAGATGAGGAAGCAACACATACAGCGAAGAATCGGATTTGTATCGGGTATTTTCTCCTCGGGATAAATGGTTAGTTGTCGATTCATACGCATCCCTGGCCGCAAATGTTTAAAACCAGAGCTCCGAACGTAAAGGTAATTCCAGCTGTCCGCCTGCAGAACCAGTTCGCCTTGCCAGCTCGACCTCGCGCCACGATCCACCAGCCAGAAGACCTGCATCCGCGCTCACTCTGACGACAGCGTTCGTTTCGTGTATTTCCGCCACCATTTTGTATATATTGTAAATATACTATATATTCCATAAAACACAAAAGCTTTTTATTTACCGTCGCCCGTTAAACACCTGTACAGTATAACAAACAAACATGATTCAGTAACCGTATACATACAGGGTGTTTCGAAATTCGCGCACACGGACTGTGAGATGGTGTTATACAACGAAAACTGAATAAAAAGTTCCTCTCAGTTTTTGATCAGACCGGAACTTTTTTTTTTCGACGTGCTGAAGCTTGTTTACTAGCAGACGGCGGACATTTTGAACAACTGTTGTAATTATGTACTCGTCATAATTATAGTTTATTTTCAACCTTCTTTTGTTTTTAAAAATGTGTTATTATTAAGTTTAACCAGTGGCGCAGCGTAGGAGGGCGGAGTTTTTTAAACCGCGGTAGCTCGAAAAATAGCGGTCTGATGGAAAACTGGTAGAGGAACTTTTTGTTCAGGTTTTGTCGTATAACACCATCCCATAGTCCGTGTGCTCGAATTTCGAAACACCCTGTATATAAAACAAACACTTTTTGCCAAGCTTCGTCGCCAAATTTCCTCTTCTTCGGCATCTGCGCAGAACGGTCGAGGACTCAAGATTGTTGTATATAGACCGTTTCTTATTTTATGCCATATAGTGCTATCGTTTCTGAAGTAAGAGGTGCTGCGTAACCGTAGGGGGTATGTCAAAAATTTGAAGCCGTTATAGAGATGATTAAGGCGATGCCGGAAAAGAGTTGAGGAGACGGCAGGGCACGCAAACATGTTAAGGAGGCGTATAAAGACATACACAGACGTGATGGAGGAGTTGTAGTAAGGGGGAAAGAAGCGTAAAAAAGGTTTTAAAGCATGAAGGAGGTCTGGAGGCGTGAAAAAATAGGTCTATCCAAACACAGTAGGTAACTATATTCGATATTGCTATGTGCAATGGCAAACGGCATACGAAATGTGTGCAATATTTCCAGGGCACGTCTAACATCCGCTACTACGAAAAATCTCGATTAAACTTATTAACTTGAGAAAACTCAGCTGTCTTCATGAATCCTATAATCCCAAAGGAGTTATTTTAAAATGAATATTTAAACACCTGGAATAACCCTGGGTACCAACATGGAATTTGACATCTAAGTCGTAATTTGGGCTCGAATAAACACAAAGATAATCATTTACAGATGAAATGCATATAATCTCTTTAAATAGTCTCTTTCTTTTAAAACAAGTTTTCACCAAGACTTTATAATTAGCAGGACCGACTGTCTTGCAACAAAACGCTCAATTGCATGTCAATCACCAAACTCTTCTATGTGACGACTTTTCCCTTCTACACGTTCCCTCTCTAATTTTTTATCAAAATACATGCGGTGTCATCACATGTGTTTTCTTATCGGTGAAACCGACTTATCTTCCAACTTACTTAGCTTTACGTAGCGATAAAAAACTCTTATCGCCATGACCGGAGATAACACATTTTGCGGATTCTTTTGGAATACATATGCCTAGTAAAGAAAACTAGGCTTTCCAGCGTCTGTGAACGTATTATGAACACTTTCAGGACCGAGACCGAGAGGAGGAGGATCTGCTGGGAAGGTGAAACGCTTTTGGGCGTTTGCAGTATGGTTGAAAAATCTATCAACCCTCATGAAATATACGACCTCATAGCGGCGAGCATCTTGAATGTGATGACAGTTTTAATTACCTTTTTGTCTTTGTCAATACGATCGTGAATAATTCAAACACGATACAAATACTTTATTTGAAGTTTCAAAAACTGGCATTTTATATTAAGTACAAGATAAATAAGCTTCACTTAATAATTAATTCTATGTACAGTATTAAAATTCACTAAAAAGCTACAATACCACCTCGCGCATACCTCCTCAGTCAAATTATATTGCACAAGTCTTTATATAACGAGGTAAAATCACTACGTATCTCACGGCAGTAATCTATGATAGTGTGCCTTTTTACTCTTTTCGATGACGTAGAACGACTGCGGTTTTCCATTTCCGGCGAAGTACTTCATCAGCGACGCCTTCTTCGGCATGGCCGGTACGTAGTAGGACGACTTGTGCGAGTTCTTCCTTATCTTCATCGGCTTGTCCAGCACCTCGTTCCACATGTTATCCGACTGCTGATCCATGAAGTCGATGTTGTTCGTTCGCGGTTTGCCTCTGGTCCCCGTCAGCTTCTTCAGCACCGGCATGTTGTAGTGGTAGATCTTGCCCGGTTTGCCGTTGTTTTTGAAGCCGACCGGTAGCTTTCGGCTCGTCTCGACGACCGAGTTCGGCGCGTTGTGGGTGTAGTAGTAGGGATTCGGCGGCAGTTTTACGATGAACATGTGCGAGTCGTCGGATCGACTGTGATGGCGCGATTCGACCGCCAGACGCTTCCGATGGTGACTGTTCGGGCCGCGAACGCGCGACAGTCCGAGTTTCGTTAGCATCTCGTGATTTTTTACGGTGTGGGGCGAGACGCTCGGTTCTGATCGGGTTGAGCAAATGCAAAACACGAGAATGATCGTACTGGACGCGATGATTAATCTGAAACAATAAATCGTAATTAGTATCAACATTCACATAAAGATTTCTTTAAATTTGCCGCATTTTGTCGCATCAAACATGGCGGACTTTGCGGTGATTTGTATATCAAGGGCCTTAAGGTACATGAATCGTTTCAGCTTATCTTAGTTTCGCATTGTCTTTAATTCTCTCGAACAGTTTCCCTTCCCTGTTCATCCTTCGTAGGGCATAACGGTTACATAATCACCTTTCATTTCATTAAAAAAAATTGTTGTGGTAGATCAATTGCGGTTGTTTCCCAAAATGTTTTTAAATTATCGTTACCTAATGCAGGTCTCTCAAATAAGGAAGGTCACGTCTTCACGCACTCCAGGCAAAGATAGTGGCCAAATATTTGTATTGTGGGTCATAATAGCAACAGATGGTTATGGAGTAGCTTCTTTGAACCACATTGTTGACCCGTGATCGACGTAACCTCCATATACACTTAAAAAACAACGCAAAGGAGTTTTCCTAAACGTTATTTAGAAATCGGCAGAAAAAATTAATTAAAGAATAATATAAAAGAGAAAAGACGTCCGTACTGTTAGACCTGTTTTTAAAGAGCTCGAGGATAAAAAAGCATAAGTCAATTTGTTGTTCTGCTCGTTCCCTTTACTGTTATAAACTCTCTGTTCTCGTCGTATTGCTAGTTGGCCAATTTCATGCGAAATATGAGTTTAATCGGTTTATCGTGCAATTTATACAAACATCGTGATCGAGCCTCCATCTAAATTGCGAGGAATTTATGGAGAAGGTGTAGTACTATTTTAAGTCAAACGAGTCATGTTGTTTGAATATGGTATGACTATAATTAGTTGGGTGTGATACGATTAATGACTGACTGAAAATGTAGGAAGAGACGGCGAGTTTGTCAAGGAATTTACTTCGATAGTGAACCTTCCTTATTACGAGTCGAGTACTAATGAAAATGCATGTAGGTAATTCTTCACATTTTTACCATTCACACGCAATCAGTCAGATAGATTGGTTCTATGACCAAGAGATTCCTAGATTTTATTTTCAAAACACGTTCGAAGAGCTCTTTTGTTGTATGATTTGTAAACATAAAACCCTACGTCCAGTTGGATGGTCCTGGGCTAATAATGTACCATCGTACAACATCTTCCAATTTTAGCCATAGCCATTCTCCAAATTTACAAAACTGCCCGCTCTATCGTGAAATAAATATTATCGGTGTTGTCATCACAGTCCTGAAGGTTTTAATCAAAGTTTAGTGACAGAATTTTATCCTAAAAAATGTCCATCTCGAACAGGAATTGATAGCTCTGTTTCACTTTTTTCGAATTTTTCAATCATGATTTTATTACACAGGGTGATACAAAATTTGCGCCCACGGACAATTCTGAGACAAAACTGAATAGTTTTAAAACCCTGTTACACGGGTCACTCTGTAATTGGGGGCTCAGAACAAGAGGGGAATATTAAATAAAAATAAATAAATAAATAATAAAAGCAATAGTTATTTACATAAAAGTCAGAAAAATGACACATTACTGGCGAGAAAATATTGAAGTACGAGGCTCTTTTGGGACCGAGTACTTTAATTTCCGAGTCAGGTAATGTTATTTTACTAACGAGTTTTGTATTCGATTTTACCCGAAATCGTATTTTAATATAAGTCCAGTCAAATTACGGTTTGGGCTGGATGTTGTCACTTCACTCAACGACACCAAGCGCATCCTATGTAAAAAAATCCGCTGAATCGGAAAATCATAGTCCCCCCGGCCGGAAACGCCGGGAACATATTGTTATAAACAAAAAACGAAGAAAAAAGGGGAAAATGTCTTATTTTTTCACGAAAATTAACACTTTGTTATTACTAAGTAAAATTCATCCGATCTTTTTGAAAATCCGTATTTAGTAACTTCTTTTCATAACAAAACAATATGACAAACCAGATCACCGTAGGTTTCATACTCATTGATTAATTAAATAAACAAGTAGAAAAAGGGATGCTATGTCTTTCAAACTGGGGGACTAAATTTTGGCGAAATAGAAGCATGAAAACAGTTCACGCTGTAAAGAATCGATCGGTGCGACCCGATTTGCAAAATCATTTTTGGTTGTTTCGAAAACTGGCTTCAAAGTCAAAAGCTGATTTCTCGTGAACGATTAATCGGATTTGGACGTATTTTTTTTAATGTACCGCTTTCCGAGAGCTTTACATTCGCCTATTATAGAGTTATATTTTTTTGGGAGTTATTCCATTTGTTAACTAAGAACATTCTTCGGATTTTGAAACAAAAATTACACAGTCCGTCAATTTGCAGCAATCATCGGGGTAATTATTGGAAAAGATTGTTTTAGGGTTATAATATGTATAACAAAATTGAGAACACTCTTTGTACTCCCCCAGTTTGAAAGACAAAGCATCTCTTTTTCTACTGGTTTATTTAATTAATCAATGAGTATGAAACATACGGTGATCTAGTTTGTTATATTGTTTTGTTATCAAAAGTAGTTACTAAATACAGATTTTCAAAAAGATCGAATGAATTTTACTTAGTAATAACAAAGTGTTAATTTTAGAGATTCCCTAAAAAACAATAACAGTTGAAAATGAGCGTTCCGGACCAACTGTATCTTATAGAAAATTTTATTCTAAACAAGTTCATGTCTATTCATTTTTCCCTCAGAGCAATAGTTAACGAGATATTCGCAGTCAAATGTGAAAAAACACGACATTTTCCCATTTTTTCTTCGTTTTTTGTTTATAACAATATGTTCCGGGCGTTTCCGACCGGGGGGACTATGATTTTCCGATTCAGCGGATTTTTTTACATAGAATGCGCTTGGTTTCGTTCAGTGAAATGACAACATCCAGTTTATACTACTTTTATAGAGCTAATTTGACTGGATAATAAATATAAATTATATAGAACTTTTGATTAATGTCAATCTGTCAGTGATGACAGGAGTCATTATAGACATTTAGAAATGTCACAGATGCGGCCGGTAAAGTGACAGTGCGGTCAGTAAAGTGACAAGCGGCAGGAAACGTAGTCTGCTCTGCTCTGCCTCTGTCATGGAAACTCAAATTTCTTGACAGAAAGTAGGCATGATGATGAAGGTTTCATGACGATTTTGGGTAAACAAAATTAACGTACCAGAAGTCGTACCGTGCATGCGCAATAGGCAACTTCCATATTTGTGAAGCAATTTGATTGAAATTTTTATGGCGGATTCCTTTAATAAGAGCAAACAAAATGTACGTACGAAAACTTGTATTGCGCATATAGACAACTTCAGTATTTGTGGAGCAATTTTTTTTTATTGTCCCATTTATCTAAAGGTGCCTTGGTACCTGACTCAGGACCTACTACAGTGCTACATTCTGAAGTTCCTTCCGAGCCAGAGGCCTTTTTGTTCCTTCTTTTCAAACTTCTTTCCGATTGTTGTCTGTAAATATTAATTTTAATCCAAGAACCTATCCTGTTTAAATAGTAGAAGGAGTTCGTTGTACTCTTCATCTGAAAGTTTGGCCGCTTACTCCACTATTTTTTGTACCTTCATCTGTTATTAAGGGTATCCCGTCATTACAGCCCGGTCAAAATAGCCCCGACAAATTATAGGTATTCTCGCAAGACTAGTCGTCGTGCGCTGGTGCACCATCCTGTTGAAACCAACAGTTTCCAACTTTTTTTATCGTTGTATCCTTTTTTTGCAGGCTACAAAAAATAAGCTTGATGATGATTTCTCCGAAACGAAACGTTGTAATAAAATCTCTCAACGCTACCGTGTACAGCTCAAATAGTGGCAATGAGAAAGTGTTTATTACCTTTTTTGTGTGTGTCAAATAGTACCAAAAAAAAACGAAATCGGCAAATTTTAGTTCTTCTGGCATATCTTTGGAAGTAACCGGAATAGTCCGGTTTTACTTACAGAATGATATATAATAACTCCTTAATTGCGCAACTTTTCCCTAGTTTGGCCATCATCGTATCATCTATGCTCTATGGTATCCCCATGATAGATATTCTTATCTTGGACACAGTGTACAGGGTGAGTCAACGATTGCGCGGAGTAAGTTAATGCCTTGAAGATAAGATTTTTCGATAGAGTGCTTTTGTATTATATGGTTGAATATTCTCCATATTTTAAAAATATTTGGAATTATACAGGGTGCGCCCATACAGTAGGGCGCCCAAATGATACATTTTTTAAATAGAACCTCTTCTATTTGAATGCATTTTTGAATTCTACGTGTAATTGTACGTCTTTTTTATTATATGGTTAATATCCGAAAAGTTAGTAGTTTTAAAGATAATTCGATTTTTAGGAAACATTGGGCTTTGCAAGCGTCAGTATATTGTCAAAAATTTTACTTAAATTTTGATTCCAGGTTTTATATCTTTTATCCTGGGTTAACTAAAAGTCAAATAAATACATCTACTATGAAACATTAAAAATATAGCTTACAGGGTGTTTTTTTTTGGTAGCTCTAAAGTTGCAAAACTTCATCTTAAAAATCTCACGTATATTTTTCTGTCATCATTTAGCTCCTCCAAAAACCTTCAACTTTTGATAATAACGTCCTTTACCTATCTCTGATAGTTTTCGAAATATCTTGGTTTTCCTGGTTTTTATATACTCTTCTTAAATAAATTACATGAAATTTACATAATAGTGAGGTGGACATGCAGAAAAATGAATTAATAAATATGATTTTAGCCTTGAACGAGGCAGATAAAAATTGCATTTTTTGCATGGCCATCTCACTATGTAAATTACATATAACTGATTTAAGATTAGAATATAAAAACCAGGAAAACCAAGATGTTTCGAAAACTATCAGAGATAGGTATAGGACATTATTATCAAAAGTTGAAGGTATTTGGAGCTAAATGATGACAGAGAAATATACAGGGTGTTCCATTTAAAAAAAGTGAGATTTTTTAATATGAAGTTTTGTAACTTTGGATCTAGGAAAAAACACCCTGTAAACTATTTTTTTAATGTTTTAAGGTAAATGTATTTATTTGACTTTTGTTTAACCCATGATAAAAGATATAAAACCTGGA